TGGAAACTGGCAGGGTTATTTTGGCAAGATTTTGAGAGGTGGTTTGCCCTCACTTTCTCCCTAGGACTGGGAGAGAGTGTGTGAAGCCACCCCCCTTCTAGAAGAATGAAATATTTTGAGAAATATTTTAAAAGGTGGGATAAAATTTCCCCCCAAAGAGAAATAAAAATCTTAAGGGAGAGAGAAACTCAGAACCCCAGCTCCCTGCCCCCAGTAGATGTTTTGTGCCCATTAAGAAAGACTGGGCCAAAACAAAAGACCTTCAACTCCAGGATGATGGGATTAAGACATGACCATTCAGGATATAATAGGATTAACACACTACCATCTAGCAGTAGAGATCACTTACATTGCACAAAATCCTAAAGACATTGCATCACCCTCCAAACTTCAACCCCTACATGGCCCCCTGGGAATCTGACAACAGCCAATAGAAAACATGTTCTTGCCCACAACAGGAAGCTCAAGTGCAAAGCCCAAGAGAAGGTATAAAAAGCCCTCACTCTCAACTCCATGTGGTCAGCTATCCAGAACCCATGTAGTTCTGCTTCATCATCAAACCTTCTTTCCAATCAGCCTCCATATTTCCAGTGTCTTTCTCCCGGCTTGGAACTGGACCTGGATATTTCTTCCAAGAGTGACTGCCTCAAAGGCATCTAATTGGCTAATAAGGAGGATTAGAACTCAAGTCTTCATTTCTGAGTTCTTAATCTTTACATCAAACTGATCCTCAGAATGAAAATAGGTCATAAAATATAGAATTGGAAGGAGTCACTCAAACTCTTGAGTATCTCTGCTTAGTGCAGGAATCCAAAGCAACCCTGATATGGTTTATAAAGCATCTGCTTGAAGATATCTAAAAAAAGGGAGACCCCCATGTCTATAGGCAATTGTCCCCACCATCAAATTGCTCTTCCTATTAGTTTTCCAATCCTATATTATACATAGTCCTCATTTAGCAACCGCCTTGCACAACAACTATTTGCAATTGGAAGTGATCAAAAAGTAACTTTATCATCAGTCCTTGAATTTATGACCTCACAAATCTTTATAGTAGAGGAAAGCTAAACTACAATCGTAACCAGCATCATTATTTCATTTAGTGACTTCACTTAACAATTGATGGTCCCATTGTGGTCATTAAATGAGGACAACCTTTGTAATCGCACTGTTGTTTCTTCCATTGTAGGATGATATATAGGGCTTTTATCTGTGACACTCAAATACTTTGAACATGAATCTTCTTTTGAGTCATTTGTAATAGTTAACTAAACTCTCCTCATGGAATTGAGGAGTTTTTAAGTTTAATTTCCAATTCAACATTAATATAAACCTTAGGTCTGCAATGGTCAATCTGACAAGTGTGTTAGAGGTGACACGCCACATTTTGGGTGATATGCCAAGGTTCATCAACACCCAACAACTATTCTCGAGAGCAGGCCTGGTTCTTGTGTCTTTTGGAGGTTGTGGAAACCATACAAAAATGGGATGTGCCCTTGCTCGACCTCAGAAAGTTGTGCAATGCTTCGGCCTCAGAAAGTTGTGCAATGCTTCCGGAACCTCCAAAAATTGTGTAAGAACAGTACATGCTTTTGTGTGGATTTCGGAGGATGTAGAGGCAACGGAAAAACATTCTCCAAGGTTGCTTCAAGAATGGAGGCCTTCCGTGATCCGGAGCAGCCTCAGGTAGGCCACAGAAAGAAACTGCCTGAAGGTTAGCAGAGTGTAGCAGTTTCTGAGGAGCACTGGAGCCCTGGGGGCAATCATACCATTCCCCAAGATTCACACACCTTGGGGAATGGTGTAAGGTGTCCTTTTTGAGTGGCAACAGTGGTGGTAGGGTTGAAATTGCCCAGGCCTCTATTTCAGGCCCAACCTTGGGCCTGCCGAATGCTGCTCTTCAGAGTGGCCTAGATGGGGAAGCAAGGAGAGATAGAAAGTTGTCTCTGTTTTTCTGAGGGGCTCGGTTGACACACCAGCAGAGACAGGTTAGGCATCATCTGAATTTTTGACATGCCGAGGCCTTTTTAAAAGATTCACCATCACTGCCTTAAGCATCGTTATAATTCTTCAGTAAAACGGTCCATCTACAAATAAGCAGGACCTTCCCTGCAGCAACCCACAATAGTGGAATTCTCTCTCAAGACACTTGTAATGTAGATCATTACAAGATATGCTTTTCTTGTATTGGTTTCCTATACGTATTAGGGCAGTGCAGCCCCTTAGAATATACCTTATTTTTCAGAGTATAAGACGCACCTTAGTTTTTGGGGAGGAAAATAAAGAAAAAAGCTGATTGGCAGGTGGCTCAGCCTCCCAGAATACCCCCAATTAGCTGTTCCCAGAGATGAATTTTAGCAACAGGTTCATTGATTGTGAGCTCTGCACCTTGCTTTTTTTTCAGCCTCTGAAACTCTGTTTCAGAAAAAACTTTTTTTTCTGCCTCTGAAAGCCTCCGAAACAGAGCTTCAGAAACAAAGCTTTTTTCTGAAGCTCTGTTTCGGAAGCTTTTTTTCTCAAGCTTCATTTCTGAGGCTTTTTTCAGCCTCTGAAACCTCTGTTTGAGAGGCTGGGAGGGGCTACATTTGGAGTATAAGACGCACCCAGCCTCTTTTTTGAGGGAAAAAGGTGTGTCTTATACTCCAAAAAATACGGTAACCTTAAGTGCATTCTGCAATTTGCTTTAGGGTGCTCCAAATGAGTGATATGTGAGCATTCCCCCTATCTTGACCTGAATACAAGTAGTCGTCGACTTACAACAGGTCACTTAATGACCATTCGAAGTTACAAGGCCACTGAAAGTGACTTTAACAATTTTTGACACTTATGACCAATGCAGCATCCCCATGGTCACGTGATGAAAATCTGGATGATTGTCAACTGGTTCATATTTATAACGTTTGCAGTCATGCGATCACCTTCTGACAAGTAAACTCAGTGGAGAAGCAGATTCACCTAACAACCATATTACTAACTTAATAACTGTAGTGATTCATTTAACAACCAGGGCAAGAAAGGTTGTAAAATGGGGCAAAACTCACTTAACAAATGTCTCGCTTAGCAACATAAATTTTGGGCTCAATTGTGGTCGTACGTTGAGGATTACCTGTAGTTTTGTCTCTGCATTTGAAGCAAGACACTGTCCTGCTATAGAGATGTGCATGCCTTGTTAAATCTAATGTACTGCTTAGTGCATTATTACTAAGAATTTCACGGCCATATCTACCACTACCATGACTAAGGTAGTAGATACATTGCATAAATGCTTAAATATAAAAATCCTTCCCTAATTCCCCAGGCAACATTTAACCACTAGGCTCAGGTATGGGGGTCCAGCAAATGCTTTAGCGTGCTCTGTGAACCACACCATCAAATTGAGCTATAAGCAGCATGTATCTGAGGGGTCCTTGGTGCTCTCTGAGCTTGGTTGTTTTCTTGCAGATGTTTGCAGAACAGTGCTCAGCACCGATGTTTGGGTAATGAAACATCTGCAAGAATACAACCAAGCTCAGAGAGTACCAAGGATCTCTTATTTCAACCTTGAGCTGCAAATATTATTCTTTATTGGTAAGGATCAGAGGTGGGTTTCAGCAGGTTCTGACCAGTTCTGGAGAACCAGTAGCGGAAATTTTGAGTAGTTCGGAGAACCGGTAAATACTACCTCTGACTGGCCCCGGCCCCATCTATTCTCTGCCTCCCGAGTCCCAGAGATCGGGAGGAAATGGGGATTTTGCAGTAACCTTCCCCCGGAATGGGGTGGGAATGGAGATTTTACAGTATCCTTCCCCTGCCACACCCACCAAGCCACACCCACAGAACTGGTAGTAAAAAAATTTGAATCTCACCACTGGTAAGGATGTATCTTTGGGCAAAGCATATTAATGAGGTGCTCTCCGAGCTTGTTTTCTTGCAGATATTTCATTACCCTAACTAGGTAACGTAATCAGTGCTAGTAAGGAGTGCTGTTTGTGTCAGTTTATATTCTAGTGAGTTGCCTGTCTGTGTGGGTGGTCTTAGATTCTTTGGTTGAGCTGTTTACTGATGGCTCTTTGGTAGTTTCTTATTGGGGTATTGCTTACTTGATTGTTGGTCTGAAGTTAACCTTGGAGTTAATCTATGCTGATCTGAGTGCTGATTGGTGATGGAAGAGATGCTTGGGTCTTTTTGTTCTATTTTGGGCTGGGTGATAGTCTCTTTTGTCAGATTCTATAGATGTTGTTAATGTCTCTGTGTCTATTGATGGCTTCTAGAAATTCACTGGCATTTTTGGACTTGGCCTGGTCTAGAATGGTCACATTTTCCCAACTGAAACTATGGTTAAAATCTGTCTATATCAGGGCTGGGCAATTATGGCCCTTTTATGAACTGTGGACTTCAATTCCCAGAATTCCTGAGCCAGCATGCTAGCTCAGGAATTCTGGGAGTTGAAGTCCATAGGTCATAAAGGGGCCATAGTTGCCCAGCCCTGGTCTATATGTTGATGTTGTTGTTGTTGTTGTTGTTATTATTATTATTATTATTAAATTTCTATACCACCCTTCTCCCGAAGCACTCAGGGCGGTGAACAGCCAGAAGATAAAACACAGGAAATACAAAATCTAAAATAAATTAAAACAAATTAAATAATTTAGGCTGAATTTTAAAATACCCCATAATTAAACAGATTAAAAATTTATGTTTAAAATTTAAATTTAAAAGAGGAGATGATTTAGGCCAGGCCAGTTTGATGAAATAAAAACGTTTTAAGCGCGCGACGGAAGGTGCGAAGATCCGGGATCCTCCGTATCTCCGGGGGGAGCTCGTTGTGAAATTAAAGAATTTTCATCATGCATATTAATGTCGATTTTAATATGGCAACGTTCAGTTAATCCAGGTTGAGTTCTGCAATTGGGTAGGAACTTTGAGACTTAAAAGTCTCCATATTATCTGAACCACACGAAATTGGAAAAAAAGCTAAGCATACCCACACAGCTCACTTTACAATAATAGTTCAAGATTAATTTTTAGTTTCACATTATTTATTTTCCTTTTTAAACTGTACAAACCTCCTCAATCTAGTTGACAGCTGGACGGCCTACAGTTGCAAAATGGCTATAATGTCCCATTTCCCCTCTAACCCCCAAGTGGATATAATCAACTCCAAAGAAAAACTTCAATTCCCTCTTCTGTCGTTTCCCGGGGTTTTAAAACTAGAGTCCAGGTTTTGGAGGGCAAAAGGTAACCCACTCTCAAACTCCCTCGAAAGAAAGATTGATCTCCACGCAGCTCACTCAGCCTACTGACATTTGACAAAATGCTTCAGATCTTCAAGGAACCGAATGTACTCTTTGTGCTCCAGGGCTGTGCTGAGTTTCATAAGCTCATCTGCAAATGTATTGTCCACTCCTCGGTCAGCCAAGAAATCCATCAGGTGGTCATACAGGGCCTGGGAAGATTATTGGATATGTAAGAAGACACAAGAAATGCACACATTGTAGAAGGACAGCCATGTCAGTCAGTCTATGGTGGGAAAAACAGGCGTCTCGTAGCATTTTTTCCTCACAAACGTATTTCATTATATTTATTAAAGTAAAGTAAAAACCATAAGCTTTTGTGAGCTGCTTTATCAGATGTTTGCTCAAGAAAACCTTTTAGTAAAAAAAAAATGCTATCAGGCTATGCTACCAGACTATTTAAGAAATGGAGACATACTTCTGAATATTTTGCATATTATGAGCCATGGTAGCGCAGTGGTTAGAATGCAGTACGGCAGGCTAACTCACTGCTTACTCCAGGTGTTCGATCCTGACAGAGTCAAGGTTGACTCAGCCTTCCAACCTTCTGAGGTCGGTAAAATGAGGACCCAGATTGTTGAGGGCAATATGCTGCCTCAGTAAACTACTTAGAGAGGGCTATAAAGCACTATGAAGCGGTATATAAGTCTTATTGCTATTGCTATTCTTGTAATAGATAAGGTGAATACAGGTTTATGGTCAAATGAAGAATTGCCACTAGTTCAGCGTGGCTCCCTATTGCCAACCTTATCTTGGGTAAGCTAAGCAGCACTCAAGAATCCTTCCAACCCTTTGTATTCACATACCGTGTTTCCCCGAAAATAAGACCCTGTCTTATATTTTTTTGAACCCCAAAATAAGCGCTTGGCCTTTATTTCCAGGGAGGTCTTATTATTTTGGGGTGCGTGGAGCAAGATGGGGCTTCTCTTGCCGTCTTACCTGATTTCCAGCTCTGCGTTTAAATATTTTCAGGGAGGTCTTATTTTCCGGGGGACGAGGGGGAAGGCTTATTTTAGCGCATGCGCTCAAAAGCCCAATTGGGCTTATCATCAGGGGATGTATTATTTTCAGGGAAACTGAAAATAATACCAACCAAGCCTTTAATTATACAAAAATATTAGCGTTTTTCAACTTTATAAAACACTCTACAGTAGGGGTGTCAAACTCAATTTCATTGAGGGCCACATCAGAGCTGTGATTGACCTCGGGGGGTCGGGCAGGCGTGGCTGACTGGGGGGCATGTGATCAACTGGGTGGGCGTGGCCAGTTTGACGCCACTCCCCAAATGGCTGGCATGTTTCCTCTTCGCACTGGGTAGACTGGGCCAAAGCTACGTTGGACTGATCTTTCCTCTTTGCATTGGGTAGAGCAGGACGGCCCCGTGGGCAAGATCTGACCACATCGCAGGCCAGATGTCGCCCGTGGGCCTTGAGTTTGACACCCCTGCTCTACAGAAAGAGAAATCCCTATTTTCTCAGTCTGTCTTAAATTGTGGGATCCAGGATGGGAGGGCCCTTAGTCTCAAGTAGGAATGTTCAATGATTGGATTCACACAAAATTAAACTCTAAACCTGGGCTCAAAAAAATAACCTAGTCACCTGTCCTGTGAGTTGAGCTTAACTCCCGACGACATCTGGACTGGTCTCTGCAGTTTTCTTAGCAGCAACTCAGTAATGTGAACCCAACTATAATGTTCAATCCAGATGTTTTTCCCAAACTATATGTTGCCTTTAGGCAACAGCCTGCTTAGCACAACATTGGTTGGTTCCTCACAAGAAACTGACTCATAAACCATCCAATCTGTTTTAGCCTAGTCTCTCATGTGATGTGATTCCAGCACCTCCTTCACTCACAATACCTGCAGTACACACTTTACACTTTTGTCAACTTGGCACCCTACAGATTTGTTGGAACTGCACCTTCTAGAAATCTCAAGGCAGCCTCATCGTGCTGGGTGGGAGAACTGCAATCTCAGCCTCTATCTTGAGGCTACAGAGTTGAAGAAAGTTATTTTCTATAAACAATCATTCCCATAAAAACTTACACAATGAATTGTGGGTATGAATTCTCTTACCCAGTCTAGAGAATCAGTGTTGAGAGTATAGTTGTTATCCTGCCATTCTGAATCTCCACTTGGCTGGAAACTGACTTCTTGGATGGAAAAAATATCACTTTCTCCTTCTCCGGTGTGGCTAATCTGTTGGGCAGAACAATTCAAATGGTATTGGTGAAAAACCAAGTCATTATCAAGCAACTCAGAATTAGGCCAGGAAGGAGATTATTTACTCCCTATAAATGTGCAGAGAACACTAATAATCTATACCAGAGGTGTCAAACTCAATTTCATTGAGGGTCGCATCAGGGCTGTGGTTGACCTTGGGGTTGGGTGGGGGTGGCCGACTGAATGGGCGTGGCCAGCTTGATGCCACTCCCTAAACTGCTGACATGTTTTCTCTTCGCATTGGGTAGACGAGGACGGCCTTGAGGGCCAGATCTGACTACATCGCAGGCCTTGAGTTTGACACTCCTGATCTATACAATATGAAGACTTTCTTACGTATGTACCAGGGGTGGGTTCTACTTACCTTTATTATTGGTTTGCAGTGGGAGCATGAGCGCAGAAGCTATTGAGCGGAGCCTCCCACCAGTTTTACTACCGGTTCTATAGAACCGGACCGAACCGGGAGCAACCCACCACTGGTATGTACATAATTACTGTAACTGTGGCAGAGTGCATCTGCAATGATCTGCACAAGTCAAACTACAAGTTCCATTAGAAACATGTAACTTGACATTATAGGATCCAACCATCTGCCCTCATGATTTGGGGGGGGGGGGGGGGGGGAGAGAGAGGGACTTTTTGCATTACACACATCGCGATTCTAGTCAATATCCTTCCATACTATAACAGGCCTATTTTTGCAGTCAAAAGAATATCTGTAGCTCAGGGTTGAACTGTGGAAACCTTGGGTGCTCTCTGGGCTTGGTTGTTGGTTTACAGACGTTTCATCGCCCAACTAGGTAACATCATCAGTGTAACTCCCACACACACCGTTAACACTGATGATGTTACCTAGTTGGGAAATGAAACGTCTGCAAGCCAAGCTCAGAGAACACTAACACCATTTGTTCAAAAGAAGCTGTTGGTTGTATTAGCAGTGGCTTCATTCTCAACACACACTCAGAGTGAAGATGGGAGAGGATCATTGGGGAACAAGAAAAGAAGGGGTCCCACTTGTGGGTTTTTCTAAAGGCATATCTGAATGGATGCTGTTGGAACAGAAATCTGGATTAGATGGGTTTTTGGTCTGATCAAACACCCTCCCTTCAAGTTTTTAAGAACTAAAAATTTGATTAACATAAATTATAATGCAAGAGGAAAAAAAGAGAAAAAAATAACATTTTCCAACAGAATATATCCAGACTGCCCATTAAATAACACACTATAATATATGAGCCCTGTGGCGCAGTGGTTAGATGCAGTATTGCAGGCAAACTCTGCCCACAGCCTTGAGTTCGATGCTGACGGGGCTCAAGTTGACTCAGTCTTCCATCCTTCCAAGATTGGTAAAATGAAGACTCAGATTGTTGGGGGCAATATGCTGATATTATAAACTGCCCAGAATGTGCTGTAAAGCACTATGGAGAGGTATATAAGTAAGTGCTACCGTGTTTCCCCGAAAATAAGACCCTGTCTTATATATTTTTTGAACCCTGAAATAAGCACTTGGCCTTATTGCCATGCATTCAAAAGCCTGATTGGGCTTATTATCAGGGGATGTCTTATTTTGGGGGAAACAGGGTATTACGTTTCCCAAAATCCTTCTTCTGTTGAATTAATGCCAGCAATAATGGAGAAAGCTTAGCTAAAACATCTCCTTCATCACAATCTATTGTTTTATGTTGATTTCCAACCCTGGACTAGAGGATTTCATCGAGAGAAGGCAGAGGGATAAAATGACCACACTCACCTCATCCTCAGGGTAATGGCAATCCAGCACAAGAGTTTGCTTGGTATCATCTTTGCTTACTTCTACAACAAAGTTTGGGGTGGATGTCAGCTCAGGCTGTAGAAGGAAGGCAACAACATAAAATTCAGAACAAACACCAACCAAATCGTATTTGATTGCAGCAATCCAGATGAAATTGATTAAACTGTTTCCTGTCCTGTTCTCCTCATAGGAAGCTGCACATATCTGATTCCCTCAAATGCTTCCAGGTCTTGCTGAAATTAAGGTACACCGTGCAGAATTGTGATTTGTATAAATCACTGCAGTGAAAGCAGACTCTTTTGTCTACCATTTCCAGATGCCTATTACAGCAGGGGTCCCCAACCCCCAGTCCATGGACCGGCACTGGTCTGAAGTATGCCAGAAACCAGGTCATGCAAACAAGCAAAGCCCCATCTGCAGGATGCAGGCAGCACATGAAACCACACCCCCTCCGGTCCGCAGAAGGACCTCACTTCATGGTGCCCAAAAAGATGGGGACCGCTGTATTACAGTATATCCAAAACAGGGGTGAAATCCAGCAGCTTCTGACAGGTTCTGGAGAACCGGTAGTGGAAATTTTGCGTAGTCTGGAGAACCAGCAAATACCACCTCTGGCTGGCCCCAGAGTGGGGAGGGAATGGAGATTTTGCAATATCCTTCCCTCAGGAGTGGGGAGGGAATGGGGATTTTGCAGTATCCTTCCTCTGGAGCGGGGAGGGAATGGAGATTTTGCAGTATCCTTCCCCTGCCACGCCCACCAAGCCACACCACGCCCACCAAGCTATGCCCACAGAACTGGTAGTAAAAAAAATTGGATTTCACCACTGAAAAGCACCTTTGGGACAAGGACTGGCTTCCTCCTCTAAATAGCCCATGATTGGAGAAATGCTGGATCTTGGCTTATTTCTAGGGGCAAGAGAGACCTGACATGAGAGGAAGAAGAGAGAATATCCTTCCCCTGGAGTGGGTGGGAATGGAAATTTTGCAGTATCCTTCCCCTGGAGTGGGGTGGGAATGGAGATTTTGCAGTATCCTTTCTCTGGAGTGGGGTGGGAATGGAGATTTTGCAGTATTCTTCCCCTGCCACACCCACCAAGCCACACCCACCAAGCCACGCCCACAGAACCTATAGTTTAAAAATTTGGATTTCACCACTGATCCAATATGTCATCTGCATCAATGTCATTTGTACAATAAGAAATAACACAAAAAGCCGCATTGTGATTATGCAAATAATACTGAAATAAACAGATGCAACATACAATTAAGTAATTATTGTCACAAAGATAATGGATGATCTATTGTACTAGGCATGTCCAGACATGAAGTTGGTCTATTTTCATTCTTTATACTGCAGAAACGAAATCAAGCTATGTTTCTTTATCGTCTACATTGAATAAATTATTAAAAGTCTGAACTACAAGTAGTCCTCAATTTATGACCACAACTGAGCTCAAGATCCTTGCTGTTAAGTGAGACATTTGTTAAGTGAGTTTTGCCCCGTTTTACGACTTTTCTTGCCACAGTTGTTAAGTGAATTGTAAGTGAATAAGTGAATAATATCACTGCAATTGATAAGTTAATAACCCCATTGTTAAATGACCCTGGAGCCACATCAATGGGTACGCGAGCATTGCCCTAGCTCAGGTCTGGCACGCATGCGCGCGCTGGCCAGTTTATTTCAGGCCTTCTGGGCCCACCAGAAGTCAGGAAACAGGCTGTTTCTGGCCTCTGGAGGGCCTCCAGGGGGGTGGGGAAGGCTGTTTTTGCCCTCCCCAGGCTCCCAGAAAGGCTCTGGAGCCTGGGGAGGGCTAAAAACTGGCCTACCGTGCCATCGCATGCCAAAAGCGAGGGGAGTTTGGGGAGATGGGGCGCATTGAGCTCCCCCCGCTTTCGGCACGCGATGGCAAAAAGGTTAGCCATCACTGAACTGATCTTTCACAAGAACACAAATGCTTCACTCATTGTCTACACTGCTGAGTCCTACCCTGCTCCCAAACAAAGGAACTTTTCTTTACCTCAGCCTCTTGGTCCTTCTGTTCTTCTGGGGGTTCATCAACACATGGTGGAATGCTGTTATTAACATTGAAGGAGACAGTGATCCTAGGGAACAACACAGCCACAATTAGCAAACCAAGATCAATGGAGGAGAGCAGCCTCGACTGTAACACGTGGCCTCCAATGCGTCTAATTTCTCAAAAAACTGTAATGCACACACTGACCCAGCAAGAAGATCAAATGAATCTCAAGAAGAACACAAATTGCATCAGTCTGAAGCCTTATGAATCAATCCTTAAAATTTAGTCACTATTTTGCCAATGTTGTTACATTATTTATTCATTCATTCATTCATTCATTCATTCATTCATTCATTCATTCATTCCAATTTATATACCGCCCTTCTCCCGAAGGACCCAGGGCAGTGTACAGCCAAAAGTAAAAGCACACAAATATAAAATTAAAAAAATAAATAAAAGCGTATTAAATAATTTGGCCCAGCTATTCAAATAAAACACGTTTTAAAATTTAAAAAAATTAAAGAAGTTAAAAAATTAGGCCAGCCCGGCTTGTTAGAATAAAAACATTTTGAGGGCACGGTGAAAGATGCGCAAGTCGGGAATCCTCCGTATCCCAGGGGGCAGTTCGTTCCAGAGGGCAGGTGCCCCCACAGAGAAAGCTCTCTCCCTGGGGGTCGCTAGTCGACATTGTTTGACCGACGGTACCCGGAGGAGCCCCTCTGTGGGAGCGTACTGGCCGGTGGGAGGCTATTGGTAGCAGCAGGCAGTCTTGTAAGTACCCAGGTCCTAAGCCATGGAGCGCTTTGAAGATGGTAACCAACACCTTGAATCGCACCCGGAAGACCACTGGAAGCCAGTGCAGCTCGCGCAGGAGAGGTGTTACATGGGAACGCCATGTCGCTCCCACAATCACCCGCGCGGCCGCATTCTGGACCAGTTGGAGCCTCCGGGTGCTCTTCAAGGGGAGCCCCATGTAGAGAACATTACAGTAGTCCAGGCGGGAAGTGACAAGGGCATGAGTGACCGTGCACAAGGAGTCCCGATCCAGAAAGGGACGCAACTGGCGAATCAGGCGAACCTGATAGAAGGCCCCCATGGCCACAGGCATCACATGCTCTTCTAAGGACAGCCGTGCATCCAGGAGGACACCTAAGTTGCAAGCCCTCTCCGTGGGGGCCAACGACTCACCCCCAATAGTCAGCGATGGCATAAGCTGGCTATACCGGGATGCCGGGAGCCACAGCCACTCAGTCTTGGAAGGGTTGAGTCTGAGCCTGTTCCTCCCCATCTAAATCCGCACGGCCTCCAGACACTGGGACATCACGTCAAGGGCATCATTGGGGTGGTCTGGGGTGGAGATGTACAGCTGAGTGTCATCAGCGTACTGATGGAACTTCACCCCGAAACCACAGATGATCTCACCCAGCGGCTTCACATAAATGTTGAACAGAAGGGGCGAGAGGACCGACCCTTGCGGCCCCCCCACACACAAGGCGCCTCAGGGTCGACCTCTGCCCCCCTGCCAACACAGACTGCGACTCGTCAGAGAGGAAGGAGGAGAACCACCGCAACACGGTGCCCCCTACCCCCAACCCCTTCAACCAGCGCAGCATGATACCATGGTCGATGGTATCAAAAGCCGCTAAGAGATCTAATAGGACCAGGATAGAGGAACAGCCCCTATCCCGAGCCCTCCAGAGATCATCAACCAATGTGACCAATGCTGTTTCCGTGCTGTACCCAGGCCTGAAACCCGACTGGAACGGATCTAGATAGACAGCTTCATCCAGGTACCAGGGAAGCTGTCGCGCCACCACACTCTCAACAACCTTCGCCACAAAGCGGAGGTTGGAGACTGGACGATAATTTGCTAATACAGCCGGGTCCAGGGCAGGCTTCTTGAGGAGGGGCCTCACCACCGCCTCTTTCAAGGCAGAGGGGAGGAAACCCTCACTCAAAGAAGCGTTGATAATCTCCTGGAGCCAGCCTTGTGTAACCTCCCGGGAGGCCACCACCAACCAGGAGGGACACGGGTCCAATAAACATGTGGCCATGCTAAGCCTGCCCAAAATCCTGTCCATATCCTCGGGAGTCACCGGGTCAAACTCCTCCCAGATAACATTCTCAAGACCCACCTCCATCACCCCGTCTGAACCTACCCAGTCAGAGTCCAAGCCTTCCCGAATCTGAGTGATTTTGTCATGCAGATATTGCACAAAATCCTCAGCCCTACCCTGTAAGGGGTCTTCCCTCGCTCCTAGATGGAACCGGGAGCGGGTCACCCTAAACAGTGTGGCTGGGTGGTTATCTGCAGACACGATAAGGGCGAAAAAATAAGTCAGATTTTGCCGCTCTTATCACCACTAGGTAGGTCTTAATATGAGACCTCACAAGTGTTCGATCGGATTCGGAACAGCTGGCCCTCCAACCGCTCTCTAGGTGTCTTTTCCGGCGCTTCATTTCCCTCAGCTCCTCGGAAAACCAGGGAGCCACACGGGACCGGCAGCGGGTCAGAGACCGCAAAGGCACGACACGATCCAAAGCTCCAGTGGCCGCCCTATCCCAGGCGGCCACCAGGTCTTCAGCCGACCCGTGAGCCAGAGCCTCAGAGAATGGCCCAAGCTCCATCTGGAATCCATCTGGAGCCTGGGGCGAAACCACCTAACCGGTTCCACCTCCCTGCGGCAGGGGGTAGTGGTACGGAAGTCCAGTCGAAGGAGTGAATGATCTGACCATGACAAGGGCTCAAAAACTAAGTCCCCTACTTCTAGATCATTCAGCCACTGACCTGAGACAAAAATCAAGTCCAGAGTGTGTCCCCCCGTGTCAGTAGGGCCATGAACTAACTGAGTCAGGTCCATAGCCGTCATGGAAGCCAAGAACTCCCGAGCCGCTTCCGACGTTTCACCAACAGATGGCAGGTTGAAATCCCCCATGACCATAAGTCTGGGGGTATCAACCGCCACCCCGGCTATTACGTCGAGCAGCTCAGGCAGGGCCGCTGCTACGCGGCAGGGAGCCAGGTACGCCATCAGCAGGCCCATCTGAACCCCATGGCCCCACTTCACAAGGAGGGACTCACATCCAGCTATCTGAGGTACAGTGGCCTCCCTCGGACCAAGATCTTCCTTTATACATAGTTATCAGATCTACTGATCTGCAGCAGTCTGATTCCGAATTATCAATTTTGCTACGTGTGTACAGTATGCAAGTACCTATTACTCTATAAGCCAATGTGATGTACCTATAATTATTCTACTAATCCAGGGGCGTCAAACTGGATTTCTTCGAGGGCCGAATCAGCATTGTAGTTCTTTTCCGTGGGCCGGCGGGGAGAGATGGAATGGACGCCTCCTGCAGCATCCTGCTGGCCAAAATGGGCTGCAGGGAAGCCCCAACAAGCAGCCCCCTCTGCCCCGTTTTTGGCCTGAATGGCCTCCTGCAGCACTTTTCTGCCCAAAATGGGGTGCAGGGAAGCAGCACATGGCCCCCCGCACCTCATTTTCGGCCTCCCCAGCCTCCAGCAGCACTCTGCCAGCCAAAAACGGGCCGTGCGGGGGCCTCCCAAGACAGCTCGCGGCCCATTTTTGGCCGGCAGAGTGCTGGAGGAGGCTGGGGAGGCCAAAAATGGGTCGCAAAGGGGCTGCATGTGGCCTGTTTTGGCCGGCAGAGGCACCGGTCCTTCAATATTTCCAGGCCAGCACTGCGGGCCGGATTTAAGCACCCCGCAGGCTGAATCCAGACCAAGGCCCTTGAGTTTGACACCCCTGCTCTAGGTTATATAAGCAATGGACTTTCTCTTTCCCCCTCCACCACCCATGAAATCCAGAAATTACCCAAACTTCTTGGCCCACTTACGTTTCCCCAGCCACTTTCCTTGTGAGCTTGGCTTCAGTGCCATGAATGTCCAGCTCCCACCCTCCGGACATCTTCGGCAAGGATTTGTGTTTCTGGATCTTCTTCTCCTCTTTGATTTCATCATTTAGAAACTCAGTAAAAGCCTTGTCACCTGCAGATTGGAAAGAACAGCAGCTCGTTCATTGTGTGCATCCAAAAAGCACTTAACATAGCTAGTGTCCCAAAGGTGCTTTTTCAAGAGGCAACAGGACTTTCTGGTTTTTATTTTTTTTCTTTCTTCCCCATAGACAATATAGCTAGTGCTACTTCCAACTCAGGAACCCCACAATGACATTTATATTATTAATTACTAAAGCATTGTACGGTTTGATCACAGCAGATTCCCCCCACCAGCTAACCTTGGTGAATCCAGAAAAATGTTAAGCAGTTTTGAACCTGATCCTAATTTCTGCTGCAGATAAAACTTGACAGCAAAAAATGCTGAAAGGTGTCCAAGAGACCACAAGGTTGCCAAGAAATGAAACACTTATTTTTACCATGGGTTTGGGCTCAAAGGAGCTTACCATCAATAATAGACATAATAGAAAATAATAGTTCAGCAAACCTAGGAACCTCACCTAATCTTCTGTTCTAGGTTCAAGTACTTAAAAACATTGGGTTCACAAAATTTTACTATATAATTTGTTATTTGGGACAAGATTCCCATGAATGCTATGAAAATAGGAATCTCAAATCATTATCTATCCAATTTATAATGTTTTATTTTTTTTAATTTTTTGAGCAATTGTTCACTGTTTTACCACAATTATTCAGGCCAAAATGCATCCAATTGTAGAGGATATTCCATACTGGAAACCATAGAGATTTGTACAAGGAGATTACAGAACTCCAAATGTTATTTTTTTCAATCTCATTCCAAATAATTTATAGTGTGGAATTCATCGTCTTCGTGGCTGACCAATATCAGATTAAGCTTTCCAGCCATTGTGCTTTTCACAAGAGCTTTAGATCAACCTTCCCCAACCAGTGTACTCCAGAAATATGCAGACCACATGTCCCAGAATTCCTGGAGGAGGGAAGGACCTTTGAATAGACTAGAATAGAATTCTTTATTGGCCAAGTGTGATTGGACACACAAGGAATTTGTCTTTGGTGCGTTTGCTCTCAGTGTACATAAAGAAAAAATAATACATATTCATCAAAGAATCATAAAATACAACACTTAGTGATAGTCATAGGATACTAATAAGCAATCAAATCATACTAGGAAATAATAAAACAATATACATTGTAAAGATACAAGCAACATGGTTATAACCATAAGTGGGAAGAGATACTAGGAAGGATGAGAATAAGAATAGGAGTTCTAGAAAATCTGAAGAGGACCAGACTGGGTGCCTAGAAGAAAATAAGATTTTGCTTGCATGGATGATCTTCGGTTTATGCTCTCTCCTGCCCCCCCCACTCTCCCTTGCAGCCCATTTCCCCTTAATTAATTAATTAATTAATTAAATGGGCATGATCTCTGTGCGTGTGTCCTTGAATACCAAAGCTTTCTTTTTGAAAAACGAAAAAAAAACCTTAAAGTTTTTCTCCTTCTGAGTCAAACTTCATCAACTTTAAGATGGGTGGACTTCAACTTCCAGAATTCTCCAGCCAGGCCCCCACCCACCCCCATCTTAAAAGTTGCTGAGGTTGTGAAACACTTCTCCAGGGTAAACTCTTTAAATTTGTTGCGCTTAACATTCTCCCTGTGAGGGGTGTTGACCACTAAGTATGGTAACTATGGTTAACTCCTGCCTTGCTTCCCAGCAATCCATGCACTTGAGCAAAAGAATCCAACTCTTTTGAAGACACTACAAGCCAAGAGTTGATCTTTGTTTACATTTTGAAAAGGGGAGACTTTCACACTGAACCCATTTTGGGTTGCAATGATACATGGGGGATGTCTCATATTCAACCTAGGGCCGTGATGGCGAACCTATGGCAAGCGTGCCACAGGTGGCACACGGAGCCATATTGGTGGGCATGCAAGCGTTGCCCTAGCTCAGCTCCAGCACGCATGTGCGCGCTGGCCAGCTGATTTTTGGGCCTTCTGGGCCCAACCGAAGTCGGCAAATGGTCTGTTTCTGGACCCTGAGGGCCTCCGGGGAGGTGGGGATAGCTGTTTTCACCCTCCCCAGGCTCCTAGAAAGCCTCTGGAGCCTGCGGAGGGGAAAAAAACGGGCCTACCAGGCCCACCATGCCATCACATGCCAAAAATGGGGGGAACATGGGGGGGTCACGCACGCATGTGTGGGGGGGCAAGGCGCATAGAATTATGGATATGGGCACACATGCGCGCGACCACCCCGCACTCCCCCAGCTTTTGGCACATGATGGCAAAAAGGTTAGCTGTCAGCCTCCGCTTTTACTGCTTTGGCTGCCATAAGAAACAGGAGGGGGGAGAGCTAGGCGTCTGGGGGAGGGAAGTGTGCTGGAGAACTTTGGAAGAAACGAAACTGAATCTTTGAAGCTGCTATCGGGTCAACCGTCGTGGCATTCCTGATTGATGATGCTGCCAGACGTGCTTCCACCTGAACCTGGGAGACCTTTGGATTGGATGATTTACGATGGACAGTGGGAGGGGATGCTTTCTATATGCACTTTTCGCACTTATTGCCTTTAATTTCAGCTTTCCTTGGTTGCCTTCACTTCATTTTCTAGTAAAAGTACCTTTCTCTATAAACATGGAGTTTGGGTCATTCTTTCCTGTCATTCCATCACTGACTTAGGGTTTTCAACCCTGGCAAGTTTAAGATCCCATCGTCCCGTGCGCTCCCACAGAGAGGGCCTCCTCAGGGTGCCATCAGCCAAACAATGTAGGCTGGTGACCCCCAGGGGGAGGGCCTTCTCTGTGGGGGCTCCTACCCTCTGGAATCAGTTGCCCCCTGAGATAAGGAGAATCCATGACGTCCTGTCCTTAAAACCCATCTTTTCCAGCAAGCCGGGCTGGCTTAAGAAGAAACTTTTTAAATTCTTTTAATCGGTTTGTGATTTCTTAAATTTCTGGGCCAAATTTAGATATATTTTTAACTGTTTTTAATATTTGTATTCTATGTTCTTATTCTGGCTGTACACCGCCCTGAGTCCTCAGGGAGAAGGGCGGTATATAAATTGGAAATTAAATTAAATTAAAATGGATGAACTTCAACTCCCAAAATTCCCCAGCCAGTATGGGGGACTGCGGCATCCTGGGAGTTTGAAGTCCACCCATTTTAGAATTGCCAAGGTTTGAGCTGCGGGCACATGGCGTCCCTTAATGCCCGCACACACCTTGATGCGTGAAAACATGGCCTTGCGGGGTTGCAATTTGCGCCTACCGAGCCCCGGGCTATTTTTACACAAATTTCCAGGCGTCTTCTCCAAACTCGTACCTGAGGGCCTTCCTAGGCAAAGACGCATGGAACTTCCCCCCCCACCCCCACCCCACGTACCTTTGCGAGACTAAAACTAAAGAGAGTCCTCATTCGCATCGAGCCACGTGAAAATTAACCGAGGTTTAACCTTGGAGCACCCGCATCCTTAAAACCTCCTCGAGGGTCATTCCCCCCCCCCCGTGATCCCGATTCTTTTAATCCTCGCCTCTATTCTCCAGCCCCACCTTTGAAGGTCGGGATCCCCTTGCAAAACTTCCGATCCTGGCGGAAAGCAACCCCCGACAGATGATCCAATGGCTCCCTCCAGATCCGCCGCGCCTTACCCCAGGAGCCCGGTTGCTTCCGCGCGCCAGGAAACGGGAGCGCTGGCCCGTCTCCCCCTTTTCTCTCACCTTCGGTATGGAGGCCGCCGCAACTGCAGGACACGGAGGGGAAGCCCCTCCGCAGAAGGCCGGGAAGGCCTTTCCCGGAGCCGCGGAGCACCCAGAGAGAGCGGCTGAAAGGCCGAGCGGCCGCAGCGACAGCGGGGCGATGCGCGCTGCTTGCCTGCAAAGGCAGGAGCGGCAGAGAAGAGCGCGCGGCGGCGGCGGATCGCAAAGCCCGGGCGACCAGCATGGTTGAAGGCCGGAGAAAGACGGAGCGAGGCGAACTCACGTGGGGGAAGCCCGGAAGGAAGGGAGGGAGGGAGGCGGGGGGGGGGGAGAAAGGAAACCGCGGTCGCTAACCGAGACTCCGCCTCCTCGATCGTCCCTCCTCCTTTGAAAGACAGCGCCGAAAGCGCTTTTTTGGCACTGGGGCTGTGGGGAGCGGCGTTCGCTGCACGGCTGGTTGTTTTGAGGATGCTTTTGGGCTGGAAATGCTGGATTTCCATCCGCGGAAACCCAGTTTACAAAGGCGGGAAGGTAACATTCTCCCCTTGTCTTTGGCCGAGTGTCTTCAGAAGTAGATGAGCCCCGTTTTTTGTTTTATTTGATTTATATGCCGCTCTTCTCTGGAGACTCAGGGCGGCTTACAATGCGTTAAGCAATAGCCTTCATACTTTTGTATATTTTATACAAAGTCAGCTTATTGCCCCCACAATCCGGGTCCTCATTTTACCTACCTTAGAAAGGATGGAAGGCTGAGTCGTCCTTGAGCCTGGTGAGATTTGAACTTGCAGTAATTGCAGGCAGCTGATGTTAATAACGGTGCTTTAGTCTGCTGTGCCACCAGGGTCCCTCGTTTCCTGAGGGACTCTCCTTTGATAATTACCATGGTAAAGGTTCCCCTTGCACATATGTGCTAGTCGTTCCCGACTCTAGGGGGCGCTGCTCATCTCTGTTTCAAAGCTGAAAAGCCAGTGCTGTCCGAAGATGTCTCCATCGTCATGTGGCCGTCATGACTAAACGCCAAAGCTGCACAGAACGTTGTTACCTTCCCACCAAAGGTGGTCCCTGTTTTTTCTACTTGCATTTTTTACGTGCTTTCGAACTGCTAGGTTGGCAGGAGCTGGGACAAGTAATGGGAGCTCACCCTCCTGAACTGCCACACTCAGCATCTTAGCCACTGAGCCACCGCGTCCCTCAAGTACCATGGCACATCAAGTAGAGTGGAGTGAAGAGAAGAGAATAGGAAAGAGAGAAAGAATTGGCCAAGTGTGATCGCACACACAAGGAATTTGTCTCTCGTGCATAAACTCAGTGTAAATACAAACAACAAAGTGATAGAATAGGTCATAAGATACCAATAGGAGAAGGCAGAAGGAAAGATGATGAGGAAGATGAGAAGGATAATAGCAATGCAACCTACTACTGTATATGGGTAAATATCTTTAAGCCTAAAATAATGCTGTGGGAATTACGGTAGGTGTTCAGCAGAGTGATGATGCCTAGTTGTTTGGGCATGCACATTTCATGTAATTCATTGCATTGGCCTTTGAAGTACCTTAGACCAGCGGTTCCCAAACTTTTTTGATTATGGAACCCTTCAATCTAAAGCTTAAGCTCTACAGGATAGGTTCACACATCATGCCAAGTCAAAATTGTTTTGAAGTCATGGCTGAGTTCACGTAACTCATTTATCCCAAATTTGACAATTCCATTATGGCTTGTGCTGTGGGTCCACCTAACACTATTTTCTTGGTCCTCTCTGATTGACAGCTAACCTTCAAGGGGTTCTTTGGTCCTTTTCCCTGGAGGTCTTTGATCTGGAGCCTACAGCCTACAAAGCTGCTGTTCTAATACAGAGTTGTGCCACTCTTGCTGTAAAGAAGCAGAGGCTTTTCATTTGGGGAGGACCAAATCTAACATAATTTTTAGCACTAAGGAATCTACGTGGTAAAAACATCTGGTGAAACTACGCTCCTGAGTAACCAGAGATACTTCCACTCTTATTTCCACCTTTTTTCAAAACATTAGGCACAGATTGATATCAATGTTTGAGCATGAATTGAACAAAAGAGAAAAAAACCACATTTCCATCCTAAAAATAAATATTATTTAAAATTATTTTTTTCTCACGTTACATAGTAATGGTAAGATGCAGTGCTGAGAAAGTCTGTGACAAGGCAGTTTTCAAAACGCATAGATTTACCCAGTTTTGTCCTAAAAACGTATCAGTTTCTCTTTTCTTTATACGGCATGCTTTCTAAAGGACTGAAGACCAAGGCGGACTTTACTTATATGAAAACCTCATAATACATTTGGAATGGAAACAGAGGAGGGTTAATCACAAAGCATTTCAGAGATGCAAAATCTGCCTGTGGCCTCTATTATCTCTTCTAGGTAGGTAAAGCATGTGGAACATGCCCACTTAAGGTCCTATTCCAGAAGAGATTGTGAAAGAAACATTATGAAGTCCAGCGGTGGGAAGTCAGTCAGTATAGCAACATTCCTGTATATTCGGTTACCAAAGTCACGATCCGAAGGTCCTATAAGCAACTATTTTTTTTTCTTATCCCCAATCTTAAGGTCCATTCTTGGCTGCTCTGAGCTTCCGGCGGAAGTATTCGGGGGCAGCGTCATATAGCCAGTCGGCATCCACCACACAGAGGTCCCTCATGTAGCATTTGCTGGTGTGCAGCAGTTCATTATATGCAACGCAGGCTGGTTTGCAGTGGAAAAGGACCGAAGAAGGGTGAATGGCCACTGGCTGATGGGTATCAGTTGTGGCATAGGTGCCATCTGGCTGCAGCTCTGCTGTATACATGAAGAGGCTATAGGCCAGGCAGCGGCGGATAGTCCCAGTATCAGAGCGGGAAGACTCCAAGGGTATCGAAAGCTGGATTTCAAGAACAAAAACATAGCAATTAAGAACCAATCCAGAATTGAAGCTTTGGGATACATCAGAGGCAGGATAACATTCTGGCTTAGTGAATACATTAGGAATTTTCAAGGCATGCTTAGATTTCTCGCAAATGTCTGCCTTCGTGGAAGTGGCAGTCACCAAAAATGGACAAACTGACCAAACTTCTCCAGGAAACCTATCCATCATTCTTATTTTGGTTTTGTTTCTGGGCAGTCAGGTCCTAAACAAGGACCCTCCTCATTATTTTCCAATTGTCTGTGGGGTCTATGGACCTCACAAGCTAATGTTTTCAAACCCTGCCACCCTCTGTCCGCCAAAAAGTGAGGCCAAGAGCTTGTCAGATACCACACTGCTTACATCTGAGTTACACCATTCTTTAGCATTAAATACAAACCTATGAAAGCAAGATAAATCTCTCTTTACATCCAGGCACAATACATTGATAGAAAGTGCTCTGCAATGATCACAACCGGAACAGGTGAAGATTGGAGGACTGTAAGCATCTTAGAGTATCACAGGGGTGTCAAATTCGTGGCTCGCAGGCCAGATGCGTCACGCACTGGCCACACTCACCCCTAGTTTAGGGAAGGGGAAAAAAGTTGCGATACGTCACATGATGATGTGTCATCGCGAGTTTGACACCCCTGGTGTATCACAAACTCTTTTGCATTCTACTCTTCTGCTTTAAAAAGTGTCAGTTAACTGATGGCAATTCTAAATAGTAAATACATTTATATTTGGGCTTTTGCATTATTTTATTTAAAACTTTATGTAGCTACCCATCTTCCAACCAACTCTGGGCAGCTCCCACTCAAGTACCAAGAATTCAGAGAGCAAGTAGTTTTTCTTAGAAATTTCTCCTTTTCTCCCAAAGGTGCTTTTTTCAAGAGGCAACTGGACTTTCATGTTTTTCTTTGAAGACGTTTCACTTCTCATCCAAGAAGCTTCTTCAGCTCTGACTGGATGGTGGGGAATGGAAGGATTGAAAAAAGCACCTTTGGGACAACCATGACCTAGATGACTGAGAATCTCCATAGATATTCTCCTTTTCTCCTTACTTAGCAGTGCTTGCAATAAAGCTAACATGTAACATGAGTCTGTTTCTGTTTCATATAGGAGAGAAGGTTGCTCAAGATGGATGTCACTAGTAACAATAGAAAATTTAGATTTCGGGATTAAGACAAGATCTTGCTTTCCCAGATCCTTCACTCTTGCTATTAGCTAACGCCAAAAGTGATATGACATGCAAATTCACATGATTCATACATATTTATACAGCATTATAAACTTAATAGTCTAATGAAGGTCCATTTGAGCACAAGCATGTAAACTTCCACATGTTCACATGTAAAAAGAATATGAACATAGAAAAATACTCTGCAAATATACAGTATATGAAGGATGTGAATTTGCTTTATCACAGGCCATGTCACTGTTGGCCTTGACTGATAGCAATAATAACGGACCTAGAAAAGCAAGATCTTGTTTTAATCCTGAAATCTACATTTTCTATTGTTCCTAGTGGCCTCCATCTTAAGCAACCTTCTCTCCTATATGAGATAGAAACAGTTAGTGATACTGTCAAATACAAGCCCTAAATTGCTTCAAAACTATTTTATACCTGCTTAGAATGATTTTAGGAAGGATTTAGGTAGGTAGGATAAATTACAATTATCCTTGTTGGGCAGGATTTCTTTAATCAAAATGAATGTTTTACCAAAGAAGTTTTTATTTTGGATACTACTGATATTGGTGAAGGATGCCTTATTTGAACAATGGCAAAGAGATATTTCTAAGTGCATATGGCAAGTAAAAAAAGCCATTAATTTTTTTTTTTGAAATTGTACTGTGTGTTAATGATGAATATCTTATATGTTAAAATTTATAAAATGCCACTGAAATTGAATTTAGAAAGGGAATATATTAAACACTGTATGATTCAATGGGAAAAATTGGTCATAATAGAATGCTTAAGCAGTGTGAAAACATGTGGACCAAAGCAGTGAAATTTTCACCCACCCACTCTAGGTTAAATACTGCAGCACTAATAGGACCTTGATCCAGTTAAAAACAATAAATTTTGATGGACATCTGATTCAACATGAATCACTTTGAAACCTTCCAACATTTACCTTTATACAAATATCCCTTAGTTGAGCTCTAACATCTGAGACCAGCATCATGTTTCGACTGTTCACAAAATTTTCTTTGCACCATTCCTAAAAGAAGCAGAAAAAAAAAAGAAGAACAAAGCAGAGATTATCAGGAACATCAAAAATCAAGTAGCAACTGCTTTGGAATAGGATCTTTTAGAACGCCTCAAATCTCAATCCTCTATACATGAGGCACTGAAAGTCTGAGTCTATTCATTCCCTATACTGGGTTTCCTTATTCAAATCCATCATTCCCTTTCAAGGCACAAATCAACACTGGCCAAATGATCTTTCCCCCTATCAGTAAGACAGGAATACTACATTATGAAGTGGTACTAAACTCCACAATCAAGCAGTCAAGGAAGAATCAAGGAGAAAACCACACCCACATCAACACTGACAAGCTACTATATATAAACACTCCTTCCTAGCATTGAAGATTTTGCACACATAAGATATCTTGGACGTCGGCTTCTGGTTATAAGGTGAGAAAATATTGCACAGTGGACATGCTAAAGATACGGTTTTACTTGTTTTTTTTTACAATATTTATATCCTATTCCAATTCTGACAGATGCTGGGTAGCTAATCAGAGAATAGAACATAAAACTATAATAAAGTTAAAGTAAAGTAATAAAATATCTTATAAGGCAGCAAGAAACAACAAATGGCTGAACGCATGCTTGAACCATGCAAGCAAGTTGAGGCCATCTGTACCAGGTGAGGAGAGAATATTCCAAATACTGGGGCTACCACTAAAAAGGCATGCCATATGGTTCACACAATGAGGGGGGAATCTTTTTGATCTGTCCCCGTCTACACACACACACAAACACAGCCAGCCGAGGGTTAAGAAAGTACTTGGCACGCACACAGGTCATTATCTCAAACTTGGCAATAATATAAGCACCGTCTGCCAAGAGCTTTACTGCAACAGATAACATAAGATTACATAAGTTAGTTTTTGTTCGTCACGGAGTTTTACCAGCCACCACCCTCTCTTATATAGTCTCTGGGGTGTGGTCCAGTGACTCAGTTCTAATCCCTAGCACGCCTCCTTAACTGCTGCAACCGTTTATCACGCCTTCGTTGGCGTGCATCCAGGAATGACGGTTCTCCTTCCTCGCCCTCATCAGAGACACCTGGCTCCTGGCCAATCTCCCCTTCCTCGGCCGGCACTTGAGGCAGTGCCAGAGGGGAGGGGCCTGGAGAGGGAGGCCTGGCTGACTCCTCTCCCTCATGTTCGGAGCTTTCTTCCTCCGATGAGATAGGCTCAGAGGGCGGGGCCACAACACTTTTACAATGTAGTACCTGCCCAAAAGGAACCATTTCAAGTCTTACCCGATTGCCACTGATATTTTTGAAGGCCCGGTAAATGTTGAGCAAAGTGACATGATCCCCTTCGCTGGAGATGAATTTCTTTCGGACGGCCTGGACTTCATCCCGACGGGAAGGAGGGTTGTAGAGGACGCTGTCCACAGAGAGCAGCGAGACAATGGTCAGGATCTCTTCCGTACAGTGGAACCTGGGAGACATTAGGATCGTCTGCCAAAAGACAACAAACACCACACTTGAGCATACCTCTGTTCAGTTTTGAAACTCTGAAGCTCAGCTAGGTGCTCCCACCTGTTGAGTTAACGTACTGCTACATTTTGCTGTTGTTTTTAATTGTTGTGAGCTGCCCATATGTGGCCAAAAGCACCACATCATCATTAAAAATGCTTTATTACTATCTAAACCAACCCAGGCAATTGGCTGCTTGAATAAACCAAAATGGACAGGGATCCAAAAAACATATGACAGGCAGCTCAGTTACAAGTGTCTTCATGACTCAAAAAGTGAAAGAACAAAGTATATGCCAGATACTTCAATGTACACTGTATCAAAAACAAAGTTCAAAAACACTTTACTGCAGGACAGGATCATCATCACACTGGTGAGGTAGAAATGCATCTCTTCACTAAAGGAAACAAAGAAATCTCTGTGCTTATTGGGGGTTTATGCCTATAATGCTAACATTATAACTGTTACATCATGCTGGTTTCTAATTACTTCAAGAGAACGTTTACTGAATCAATTATTGAAAGCATACATTACAATAAGGATCAGCAAGGATAAAAAATATCCATTGTTTTTGTGAATTCTTCTGTTGCTGAAGGGTGGGGAGGATTTACAGGGAAATAACACATAATTTAGCCTCCCTCCAAAATACTTGGCTGAAGTTTGTGTTTCAATCTGGTGCATAAATTTTGAAATGAGATAAAGTCTGTTGGTTCCTCTATTGGATTCTATTCAAAGTTACTCCCATAGGAATCTTACATCTGGTTTAACTTGTCTCTTTCAAATTATGTTATCTGATATTGTTATAATTGATTATGTTATAATATTATCAAATTATTATGTTATTCAGGGACTGTTATTCCTCTTCGGAGACTAACATATTTATATTCAGTTTCAGAAGCAGAAAAGGATAGGCACAATTTTATATCAGCATGAAATAGGCAAGAATGGAAAGATGGACCCAACTTTTTACCAGCAAAAATATCACATATCTATGTGCCTCAGCACATTTAGAAATTGAGCCAAACAACACATAGTGAAAAAGAAAAGAGCAAAGTGTGAATTCAACTGTGTTTTCATGCATTTTCAGTGTTGTGCGTTTTATGATGACTCCTATAGGGTTGGTATCAGGGGTGAAATTCAGAAGGTTCTGACAGGTTCTGGAGAACCAGTACCGGAAATTTTGAGTAGTTCGGAGAACTGGCAAATACCACCTCTGGCTGGCCCCAGACTGGGGTGGGAATGGAGATTTTGCAATATCCCCTGCCACACCCACCAAGCCACACCACGCCCACCAAACCACGCCCACTGAACTGGTAATAAAAAAATTTGAATTTCACTACTGGTTGGTATATATCAAATTTTGGTATATTCCATTTCCCCGCCATCCAGTCAGGGCTAAAGAACTTCTTGGATGAGAAGCGAAACGTCTTCAAAGAAAAACAAGAAAGTCCAGTTGCCTCTGGAAAAAGCACCTTTGGGAGACTTATTCATTTGCACAAGCTGATGGATGAGCTCAAACACCATTCCGCCCCATCCCACCAACATGTTATAAAATGCAATAAAATAAACCATCTATAGAAATGTGATGTTCTCAAGAAATTCAAACCTAGAGAAATGGCTGAATTTCAAAATAAAACTGGAAAAAAAAGGGGGGGCTAATGCACTTTTTCAGAGAAAGAGAAACAAAAGTTGACATGTTACTTTGGAAAATTTGGGCTCGAGAGGAAATGCAGCCATCTTCTTTCCCAATGGCGTGAGGAACAGCTGGTCTTCTTTCTTTTCCACTGCACCCAGGAGAGCCAGTTGCTCGATGGCGGCCTGAAGTGCCTCTGTCAAGGCAAACAAAGATGAAGTTCACATGACTGATCTTTCCTATGCAACAAACCTCCAGAGTCCCAGCAAGAACTAAGATAGTGTCAACAACTGTTGTGAAGGATCACCAGAATTCTTTAGCTGTACTTTGTACAGGAAAACCATGGGATTTATCTGTTGGGCCTTGTGGCCTTCTGAGACATTCCTTTAAGCTGAAAGTTGGTATGTGAAAAAATGTTGGATGAAATTGCTGAGAAAACTCCACTCAACCACAAAAATCACTGTCTTTTGGGCCATTCTTTCTCTACATAGCTTGTCTCAAAAGGTTATTACGAGAATAAAATGATAGGCAGCCTCATGTATATCATTTTCAGCACCTTTTGGAAAGGTGGGATATAAACGCAATAATTAAATAAATAACCTGGGACCTTGCATATGTGCTGGCCAGGTCAGCTAGGGATCTGGAGCCAGGAGTGCAGTAGAAGCCACAATGATGTCAAAAAGAACACTCTGGTAGAAACTGTAACTAAGTAAAATATATTTGGATATGATGAATTATAGATATATGATATGATATGGTCAATACTCTATTTCAAAAAATATGTGGGTGTGTATGGGGGGGGGAACCAATAAAACTTGTCAAAAAAAAAAGCCACAATGATGTCATAAGTCATGGTGTCATTGCATGAAGTATGCAATTTATCAGTAACGCAACAATATCATGATGCATTTGATGTCACTTACTACTCTTCCCTCAATTGTGGACACCTATGGATCTGGAGTCATGGAATCCATGTCACCCAAAGACTTTACACCTTTTCCCAATATCTCCATGTAAAATGGAGGCAACCTGGGTCCTCTTTTGCTGTATGCTGTTTTTTGAGCCCTGTTTTGCAGACTGAGGAGGCCCCTGCCACCATGATTACCAAAAAGTGGCAAGACAGTTTGCCATAGCAATGAAAGAAGAAACACTAAAACAGCAGTATAAACCAGTGGTGGGATTCAGCTGGTTCGGGCCAGCTCAAGTGAACCGGTAGTTAAATTGCTGGCTGGCTCTGCCCCACCCTTTCCCGGAGTCCCCACGTGCCAGATTTTGGCTCCCAGGTAAGTGCACAGAGGCCTCCTAGGCCCAAAATGGGGCGTGGGTGATGGTGGTGTGCGGCGCGTCCCCACCACGGCTCGTTTTTGCTCCCAGGAGGCTTCAGGAAGGCAACCTAGGCCCAAAACAGGGCATGGGGGGGCAGTGCTCCCCCCGTGGCCGGTTTTCGCTCCCAGGAGGCTAAAGGGATGCCTCCTAGGCCCAAAACAGAGCGCAGAGGGGGGGGAGCACATCTATCCTCCCCCCCCGTGGCCCATTTTTGCTCCCAGGGGGGCGAGTGCTGCCTGTCACACCCCCTGGCCACGCCCACCATGGCTACACTCACCCATCTGGTCATTAGGGCAGACAACCGGTTGTTAAATTATTTGAATCCCACTACTGGTATAAACTCTAAAGCAGTCTTAGCAGAAATGAAAATCCTCCCTCCTAATAAATATTCAACTACCACCTCCAAAAAAATGTGTGTGTGTGAGAAAGAGAGAGAGAAACTTAAGTTGTTTCTAGGAATATATGGCCTTATCCACCAAGTACTGTTACCTCACTCATTTATATCCTTAACCCCCAAATCGGCCTACCTTTAACATAAAGGAGTCTATGGATATGGAAAATCATAAACCCGAGATCCTAAAAGGCTTTCAAAAAATCACTCTGAGCTAAATAGACAAATGTTAACTTGTTGTAGGCAGCTTCCATAGTTCCTTTGAATGATAAGTTTCCTGTTTTCATTCAAGAAATAGGGATGTGTAAAAATTACAATATCTACTCCTTTGCGTATCATATTTGTGATTTTTCAAAAAGGGTTTTCAAAAATATACTCTCCTGCTTTTTCAGATGCTCACATAATATAGAAATAATAGATCTAAAGCTGTAAGAGTTCCATGCTTTAATCCACAGTCAGCGTATCTTATTTTGGCTCCAATTTTAACAGCAGTGAGAGCCTTTATCCAGTTGCAACATAGCTGAGGTTTATTTACCTGGGGATGGCTTTGACACAAAGTCAAAAGTAAGGACGTTTGGGATTCTCAGAGCCAACAGATGGAGCACCACACTGGCCAAGTTACACCTGCAGAAACAAAGAGAGTTTCAAATTTTTTGAATTCTATCAACTCAAGGCAAGACACAATATATGAATAAAGAAATAATTCATCTAGCTTGCAAAAAATGGCTACCGCATCTTTCTTCAGCTGGAGTGCCCTCCAGATGTGTGGTTTTCAACATTCAGAATATCTTAGCCAGCATGGCTGTTTTGGGGAATTCTGGGATTCGAGATTTGGTGGGCTCTCCTAGGTATAAAAGAATGCACTGTGGTTTATCTTTCACATTCTCATCTCTCTACAGAAAATATAGCTCAAAATCGGAAACAAGAATGTAATGCTGTAAAAGACACAAAGGATTGGGGTTGGATTTAGACAAATTCACATGGGATTAAATGGTTTTCTAGGATGCCCAGGTTCTGAGTCATGCAGAAGAGCAAAGTTTGAAACCAGCATGTTTATTCTTAAAACAGCAGAGGAATGACTGAACAACAAATAATATCAAGGATAAAGGACACATTTTTTGAAGCTTCACTCTCAAGAAATCTAACTTGTTTCATTATCCACAGCCCATCTCTAATCCCAGATGAGCTTTTTCAAAAGGCAATTGGGTTTTGTTTTTCCTTGAAGACCATTTTGCTTCTCATCCAAGAAACTTCTTCAGTTCTGACTGAATGGTGGAGGATGGAAGGAGTATAAATTCTCTATGGAGATTCTTAAATCATCACGACCTGGATGACTGAGACTCCCCATAGACAGCCCACCCTATGTATTGATATGGTGCCTATGGAGCAGGGGTCTCCAACCTTGACAACTTTAAGACTTGTGGACTTCAACAAGTCTTAAAGTTGCCAAGATTGGAGACCTCTGCTATGGAGGACTGCCATTCTGGAAGCTTGCAATGAGTCTTTCCCACACGATACTTCACCTTTGGATCTCTGGGACTGTCATCTTATCAAATTTCTCAAACTCATCTTCTGTGTAGAGGCGGTAACAACATCCGCTATCTTCTCTCCCAGCTCGACCAGCCCTTTGCCAGGCCTGGGCCTTTGAGATCCGCTGCACTGCCAAGACCTCCAGGCCACTCTCTAGGAAAGGCAAGAAAATCAAAGTTTTTCCTTTTTGAAATGGAATTTCCTGTTGGGAGACCTTCTCTGCTATAACTCCTGCCCTTTGGAACATTCTCCCTTCATAACTGATCATGATCCCAACCCTGTTGATTTTTGCAAGACTGGCTTTGTGAAGATGACTTAAACAAAGTATGTAAATTAAGTAACAGTATGTAGACTATATTGTTTCCTGGCTGTATTGATATTATGATGACAATTTGTCATCAACTGCCATATATCTTTCTTTTCATATTATACTGGGTTTTGTTAGGCTATGGTTTGAGCTTAACAAGTTGTCCAGGCAATATATGTGTTTTGTGACTTTAATATGAATATGTATTGTGTGACTTTAAAGTTTTCCTGCTGATTCATTGTAATGCTGAGTCATGCTGTAATTAGTTGTGAACGTATTTAAGAAAGGTACTGTAACGTATTCAGTTGATGATAAGCTACCATTGTGTGTGGAGTTGCAACCATTGTGCTATCATCAGTTGGATGGATCTGCTACCATCGTGGTTTATTACCAGAGTGAGTTTGTTATTCTAACCAACTACTGTTTGTGTGGTAAGAAGATTTTGTATCACTGGACTGATTTAACTCGCAAAGACTTGGATTTGTTTAAAGACTATGAGATTGTTTTTCACCATAAAGTAAACTTTTGATAAACCAGTTTGCACATCTCTTATTCATTGCTCTCAGCAACATTTCTCTGTGCTCTACACTCTGCTGGTTGGTAACACAACAACAATATCTTTAACAGGTTTTTAATTGAGTTTTATGATTGTTCACTGATCAGGGCCACTTGCTTGAGATCGGCAGCTACAGAAAACAAATCTCCCCAAAATAAGTGAGATACCCCTCCAAAAAAACCATAGGCAGAACTAGGATTATAAATAAAATTCAATTTAAACATTTGAATACATTTAATATTCTTTCTAAATATTTTCTCTTCTCTCACCTTAAAAATTACATGGGTATGATACCCCAAAATATGGGTAGCCACTTGCAGCCTTTAAGACCTGAGATTCTGCACCCAGAACTTATTAAATGGCTATCTATATTTTCATGAGATTTGCTAGATACTAATAGCTTAATGTAGCCTTGGTTTTCAAAATAGTTTCAGCTGGTGCTGATACTCACCAACTCAATTCCATTATTCTCATTTTAAAGCAGAGAATGGGAGATAAAATTATTTGTTTAAAGCTCAAGGTTAACTCAGCCTTCCATCCTTCTGAGGTAAAATGAGAGCCCAGATTGTTGGGGGCAATATGCAGATAAGGCTTCTACACTGTAAAGCACTACAGGGAGGTCAGGGGTGGGCTTCAAAAATTTTAGCAAGGGGTTCTCTGCCTGGTTGCTGGGTGGGCATGGCCATGGTGGGCGTGGCTTAGTCGACCTCCTGCACCATGGCAGGGGGGAACGTTTTTGCTCTCCCCGGGCTCCAGAAGCTTTCCTTGAGCTTCCAGGAGGGTGAAAACGGCCTCCCCAGGCTCTGGAGGCCGAAAACGGGCCCATGTCTGGCCTTCCCAAACTTCCGGTAGGCCTCTTTTTCACCTTTCCCGAGCCTCTGTGTGCACCCTGCACTTACCTGTATCCAAAATGGGCCGCGTGGGGACTCCTGGGAGGGGAGGGGCAGGCGGGGCCAGTCAGGAGTGGGGTTTGGAAGTTCTCCGAACTGCACAGAATCTTAGCTAGAGGTTCTCCCAAAACCCTGCGAACGCCCAGCAGCCCACCCCTGGGGGCAGTATATAAGCCTAAATGCTATTGCTATTACCTATAACAATGCCAGGGACCATCACCCGAGCCACACCCCCTCAGAAATCTCTGTGCAAGGCCAAGTACTACATATACATACGAGGCGTATATTTCTTTGCTTTGACCATCCCTGTGTCCACAACGTATTTTATGCCGGCAATGGTGATGGAGGTCTCTGCAATGTTGGTGGAAAGAATCACTTTGCGATAACCCTGACAGAAAGAGGACATTTCTCAGTTGTTGTTTTTTTTAGCTTTTCTACAATGTTCATTAAATATTGGAAAGAATCAGCAAGTCTCCCAGTTTTGGGTATAAGGTTGTAGGCAGTGGTGGGCTGCTACCGGTTCGGACCAGTTCGAGTGAACCGGTAGTTCTGATGATCAGCTGGCCCTGCCCACCCGCCCCTGCCCTATCCTGTCCTATATTTCCTTCTTTCTGGCTCAGCTGATTTCCACGCCTCCGCTGTTCTACTTACCGGGGCTACCTTAAAAGGTAAGCAGCTGAGCTTCAAATTGCTGTATTTTGAACGCTGCACGCAAGCCTGTTAGGCGTGCATGTGTGCAAGCGAAGCCCGCGCTCACAGAACCAGTTGCAGCCCACCACTGGTTGTAGGCACTCCAAAAGGACATTTTCAGTTTTGAAGGCTCAAATATATAATACCCTTACTATAGGAAACTAATGACTTGATTTCAAATAATACTTTTTCCCATAAGTACTTGCCAGGTGATTACCTTATCCCACCCACCCCGGAAGTTACACAAGTGGCTACCAAAAAAAGGGCCTTAGCCATGAGCATCACTTGTGGAAATCTTTCCAAGGGGACCCACAGACCCTCATGTGTCTTTTCTAATATCAAAACATATCTACTTTGCCTGGATATTTTCTAGTTAGAATATTTCTAAGTAAGGCATTCATACTTTTCCATGCTGCTTAAGGTATTTCATTGCTTTGTTTTATTGTTTTTAATATTTTAAATCGTACATCCTTGATGTACGATCACAATTGGGATCAGAATTTCTGATGCTAATCAAGGCAGTTGTTAAGTGAATCATGTCTGATTTTACCTGTTTTGACACAGTTGTTAAGCGAACCTATCTGTACTTAAGAACTCTGCTTACTGAGATTACAAATAGAATAAGCAACTGCACTATAAAGGAATGTACAGCTGTAAGCCTTGTCAGAATGGTTTTGAAGGATCTTCAAAAAGATGGTGAATCAGCCATGCAGAACGTGTGGCCTTAGGATCACACACATAGTGATCACTGTCATTAAATTATATTATTGTTACAAAAAAATTAAACATTGTCAAATATTGGGAAAGTAAACAATCTCTTTAGAATCAAGCTTGACTCCCTCTGTCTAAATGAGCAGATATGGAAATAGTTTGCTTCTGTTTTTTCCTAGTACTGTATATATTTTTCAAATTATATTTTTCAGCCCCAAATATACCTAAGGCCCTTGGATTTCCTGAGGTCTCTTTTCCAAGGACTAACTACAGATGATCCTATTTAATTATCTGGCAAATGCTAGGTATTAGGTCAATGGAGCCAAGCATATGGGTTATATTTAAATAATCTGAAAGAATTTAACTTGAATCAAAATTAAATTAAAATGTAGTTGCTATTTTGGCTTGGTTTTTTGGCATGCAACCCTGGTATGACATATAAAGACTAAAGTTATGCATCCATTATCTATCTGTGAGCTATCTATGCCAATAGTTCTAATGAACACTTCAGCAAATCTCATTTTTAAAGTCAGTGCTGTCCACGAAGAAGCTAGAAGTCAAGCTCAAGTTGAAGGCGAGTTTACAATTTCCTATCATTTCTCACCGTATTGCTCTGGTTCTTACCTTGGGCGCAACCTGGAAGACCCGGAGTTGCTGCGAATAAGGCAGCGAAGCATAAAGGGGCATGACCACCATCTGAGGGCAACCATCTGGAAGATGCTTTGCAATGTCCCGACAAGTTTTAGTCATTGCTTCAATCTCTTCCTGGCCTGTCAGAAACACCAGGATATCCTGAGAATAAGGTGCTTCCTTTACAGGGGGAAAAAAGATATTTACATTAATCTTACAGGTCAGGATCATAACTCAATGGCCCAAAAGCAACTGATTTTTCAATTCAGTTGAGATTGTGGAATACCCTCACTTTTCTCATCTCCCTCCAGATCTCTTGATGGTACTTAAAAGACCTTTGCAGCTTGAGGCCTAACATTTCAGAGTTTGTGTTACCAGAGTTCCTGTTGTGGATTACTAGCCTGAATTCTGAGCATTGTTGTGGTGGCACAGTGGTTAGAATGCAGTATTGCAGGCTACTTCTGCTGACTGCCAATTGCCTACAATTTGGCAGTTTGAATCTCACAAGGTTCAAAGTTGACTCAGCCTTCCCTCCTTCCGAGGTGGGTAAAATGAGGACCCAGATTGTTGGGGACAATAGGCTGACCCTGTAAACTGCCTAGAGAGGGCTGTAAAGCACTGTGAAGTGGTATAATAAGTCTAAGTGCTATTGCTATTGTTCCCCATAACCCAGGGGTGGGCAACTAGACAGCCAAGCTGGCTCAGGAATTCTGGGAGTTGAAGTCCACAGGTTGTAAAAGGTCCACAGCTGCCCACCCCTGCCATAACCAAATCAATTACAGGTAGTCCTCAATTTACAAATACAATTGGGACCTGCATTTCTGTTGCTAAGGAAGGTGGTTAAGTGAGCTACGCAGAATTTTCTGACTATTTTGCCAAGATTGTTAAGTAAATCATTGCAATTATGAAGTGAATCACATGGTCATTAAATGAATTCAGCTTCACCCATTGGATTTTCTTGTTGAAGACCTGTTGGGGAGGTCACAAATTGTGATCACATGACCCCAAGATGCTGCAACTGTCTTAAATACATACAGGTTGCCAAGCACCCAAACTTGATCACGAGGTTATGGGGACGCCGTGATGGTCATACGTTTGAGGGCCGTAGGTGTGAGGGTTGTAATTCACTTTGGTCAATGGTGTTGTGACTTTTAACAGTCACTAAACAAATGGTACTACAAGGCGTATACTACAAGGAGCAGAGACTTTATCACAGCTATTCCAATGTTTCTGAATGCCCAGCCTAGTGAAGTTTGGATCTGGTCTGCTTTCTCTATTTTCTATTAACATAAGAAACACTACACTTATTTTTTAAAGCAACAGGCCAATTATTTTTGAATGCTACAATTAATCTTTATTAAAAGCCCAGATAATTAGTTCCTTAGAAACTTGGACTTGTACACTTTTACTAATAAACATAACTTTCTAGCAGTCTATTTTACAAAGGAGAATTAGCGCCTTCTTCTCCATAGCCACTATGAAAACACCAGCAATGAACCTCTTAGCAAATTATAGTAGTAATTTGTTGTATTGCATGTTATTTTAAAGCAGGGGTGTCAAACTCGTGTCGTCACATTGTCATCACGTGACATATCATGACTTTTCCCCCCTTCGCTAAAACGGGGGTGGCCGTGACCAGCACGTGACGCATCCGACCCACAGACCGTGAGTTTGACACCCCTGTTTTAAAGGCTTTCTTCAAGGGACTGGCAAAAGAAAATTGTTATTTAGTGAAGTCACCTTGAAATTTGGAATAGTCAGTTGCAAGTTTTCAGATTTAAAACCTTTTGGGATTTGTGGAAGTAATAAAATAGCAACATTCTTAGTGCATTAATACCTTGAATGACTGAGAGAAGTCCTAAATATTTATAGGAAGTAGTTAGACTTGGCTTCTGCAACTGGTGCTCTCTAAATATCTTGTACTACAACTCCCATTACTCTTTAGTCTCCTATTTAGGTGTGACAGGAATTACATTTAAATTTAAATTGTTTACAGTATCAGACAACTGCTTTCAATTTTTCATGCAGCTAGAGAGCTTACTGGGTGCTGCTAGGCCACTCTCCATTTCCCAGTTTAATCTACCAAACAGGATTGTTACGATGGTAATAAGAGGTAGAGGAAAAGAGGCAGCAATAAACTTGTGCACTATCCTGAGATCACAAAAAGCGTAGAATTAAATATATATATATCATATAAATAAAGAAACAGCAGTCAAGATAGAAACTTCCCAGAGTTGTACCTGATGGATCTGGAAGACTGTCACTAGAGCTGCTTGGAGGTAATCACTCTGGGATTGCTTTGTGTAGAAAATCTGGATGGGGTGCTGCCTGCCTTCCAAGTAGAGAACTGGTGCTCCATTGAAGTACTGGGAGAACAAGTCTACATCCATAGTAGCTGACATGACAATCACCTGCAAAATGTTGGGTTATAACCAAGAACTGCTCTGGGCTAGACGTAAGATTATAGTAAGGATTTTTTTGCATTTTGATCCGCTCAAATATACAAGCTGCAAATACAGGTAATCCTGTATGACTAAATTGTATGACACATGACGACAATTGAGCCCAAAATTTCTGTAGCTAAGTGAACTTTATGAATTGACACATTTACTAAGTGAATTTTGCCCCGTTGGCATCTCTGTTTGATTCTGGACTCCGTGTGGCTTTACCAAGTAGGTCTTTGGCAGCGTGTCAAGGGAGATAAAAGTTGGTGATTATCCTGAAGGACTTCTCCCAAAGGACTTTTCGCAACTAATTGGGACTCAGCTGTGAATGAACATAATTCACAGCTGTTGCAATAAAAGAGGGTTTTGGGACTACTCATATGTTTTAATGACTCAGGAAGCCTAGATCACAACACATTAGCCCTGGCTACCACTCCGTTCCCCTTCTGTGTTCAGCACTCACTTTCAAGGGTAATTTCCCAAGTTCCTTCCGTTTCTTCTGGGCTGCTTTCACTACGCCAAAGAGCACATCGGTGTGGATTGTCCTCTCATGTGCCTCATCCAAAATGACCACACTGTATTTATGCATAAGAGGATCGCCAATGGCTTCTCGAAGTAGCATCCCATCTGTCAGGAACTTGATTTTTGTCTCATCAGAAGTGAGATCTTCAAAGCGCACCGTGTAGCCAACCTAAGAAGAAAAGCCATTGGGATAAAAAAAGAGGATTAGCCACGTGGCAATCATTTAGAGGCATCTTTAAACATTTAAAACAAGCACAACAGAGTAGTAAAGAGCTACATATACCGTATTTTTCGGAGTATAAGGCGCAGCTTAGTTTTTTGGGAGGAAAATAGGAAAAAAAAATCTGCCTACCAGGTATTCATCTTGCTACCGTCCTTAGTCTGGTCAGCTTCAGCACATTAGCTTGCTGGTTTTTTATCCCCTGCTTGGGGATAAAAAACAGCTTCTAAGGCACAGCTGAGGAAGCAGCAATGAGAAAAGCAGGCAAAGCGCAAAGCACAGGGAGATCACTTCACTCGCTATCTGCGAGTGGAGGGGGCCAAGGGAGCCACTAGTGCCTCATTAGCGCCTCATTAGGGCTGAAAAAAAGCTTTGAAAAAGCTACATTCGGAGTATGACAGACCCAAATTTTCAGCCTCTTTTAGGGGGGAAAAAGGTGTGTCTTATACTCTGAAAAATACGGTATATTGGGCCTTTGAGACTGTCCAGACAAGAAGCACCAGCCATGAAAGTGAACACTACCTTCATTGTAAGGTTATAGTAACAGAATCTTGCAAGTCTGAAAGTATCTCTTCCGTCCCTTACTTTTACTCTTCTGAAAACTAGGCAGGGTCCCCTCTGAGACACTTTCTTCTACTCCATCCCTCCTTTGGATTCAGATTTCATTTATTGGACCCTTGTCTAGGCTGCAATCCTTCCTCCTATCTTCCAAGGTCATTCTCATTGTAATATACTATTACAATATATTACAAATGTAAAATAAAGGGAGAAGAGTGAGACAAGGGAGAGTGGTGCAGTGGCCTAGAGGTGGAGCACAATCAGGAGGCTGTGAGTTCTATCCTAGGTAGAGGCAGGTATTTCTCTCTCTGGGCACACTGAGATTATATCTGCCGAATATAACTCAGCACTGGCAATAGGAAGGGCATCTGGCCAGTAAACACTCAGCTCCATTCAGTTGCCCAGACTCTGCCCTGCAAGGGATTATAGGATTATTAAAAGACGATGAAGAGTGAGACAAGAGATAGCCTAGCACCAAAAAAACCTGAATAAAGTATGAATGTGGAAGAGCTGATTTCAAATCTTATTAAATAATGTTAGATAAATAATCAGAGTGTTCTATATATAAATGAAAACTTCTTATACCGTATTTGGTCCCAACCAGAACTCTTATATCCCATTCCCTATTTCTGGTCCAAGAATGTAGCATTTTAAAATTCATATATTTGGGGAAATTTCATGTAACCTTCTTCAAATTAGCTTTCCTTATAGAGCTAATCACAGAATTTATTTTTACAAAGTGTAATTTCTTTTCAATATTCTCCATTTAATTTATGAATAATGTAATACAATTGAATGTTCAATATTTCATTGCTTCTTGATGAGCAGCAAATGCCCATAAAGAAAGTATAGTAATTCCTACTTCTCGCCCTTTTCACCCTTACTTTAATACTAATTGTTATGTATGTTAAATTACAGTTAGCACTTAGCAATAGCACTTAGACTTATATACCGCTTCACTGTGCTTTACATCACTCTCTAAGTGGTTTACACAGTCAGCATATTGCCTCCAACAATCTGGCTCCTCATTTTACAGACCTTGGAAGGATGGAAGGCAGAGTCAACCTTGAGCGGGTCAGGATCAAAGTCCGGGCAGTGGGCAGAGTTAGCCTGCAATACTGCATTCTAATCACTGCACCACCACGGCTTCTAGTTAACATCAACTAAGTAGCATTGTTATTATGATTTGAAAATCTTAGTTTTAATTTTTATATCTGGGAAAATTACTGCTAAAATGTACCATGACTGGCATAGTAAACCAGGAGTTTACTATTTGTAGCCTTCAGTCTATTTCAAAACTTCTCTGCAAAGCATCAAATCAAGGTTCTAATAAGATTACACCTTAGGCTAGAGAGTGGAAGGTGTCAAACAATCAAAACAGAGAAAGGAGGATCCAAAGAGAAAAAACAATCTACATACCAATTTTCCTAATTCATTTTTCTTCTCATCTGAGACGCGGGTAGCCAAGGATATAGCAGCTACACGACGAGGCTGGGTCACAGCAACTATTCCTTGGCGCCCAATTCCCCCCTCGTAGAGATACTGCGGAATTTGAGTTGTCTTTCCGGAACCTGTTTCCCCTACAAATTATTAAGCAAATAAATGTCATTTTGTTAAATACATCAGATATGGCATGTCCACTATTTTATCCTAACAGAAAGAATCTAAGAATTGTTTTCTGAATTCATTTAATAAAACAGTGGTCTCAGTCAGCTTTCTCCAAACTGGGCACCACTGTACACTAAAATTCTCAGTGATAATCATTTTGAATGGGGAATTCTGGATTTTAAGTCCATCCATTTGAAGGTTATTCATGTTGTGGATACTAGTAAATATGTTCACCAGAATATACTTCTACGCAAATACTGTGGGACTGCAGCCTTATTTTACCTGCTGCTCTTCAAGTACATTCTAACATTGAGAGCCAGCTTGGTGTAGTGGTGAAGGTGTTGAGCTAGAAACTAGGAGACTGTGAGTTCTAGGCCTCCCTTAGGCATGAAAGCCACTGGGTAACTGTGGGCCAGTCTCTGTCTCCCTCCCCCCACCCAGGCTAACCCACTTCACAGGGTTATGGGGAAAATAGGGGTCAGGAGCAGTGGTGAAATGTAAAATTTGTTACTACCGGTTCTGTGGGCATGACTTGATGGAGGGTAATGTGATAGGGTGGGTGTGGCCAACTTTTTTTTTCTTTTAAAAGCATTTTTTCTACAACCTCTTCGGCCGAATGCTTTAAAATGCTTTTAAAAGGCTCTGACGATCCCAGCTGAGTTGCCTGATTGTCAGAGGCTTTTGTTTTCTTTTAAAAGCATTTCTTCGGCTGAAGAGGTTGTAGAAAAAATGCTTTTAAAAGTAAAAAAAAAAAAAGCATCTGATGATCGTGCAGCTCAGCTGGGCATGGGGGGGGGAGGGATTTTTGCTACCAGTTCTCCGAACCACCCGCTGCCATCGCTACCAGATCGGGTGATCCAGTCCAAACCAGGAGCATTTCACCCCTGGTCAGGAGTATTAGGTATGATTGCTCCTTGAGTTACTTATAAAGTAACAAAAGTGGAGTAAAATCTGATAAAAATAAAATATATTAAAAATCTGGGATAAAGATATACTACCTATTATTATTATTATTATTGTTATTATTATTATTATTATTATTATTATTATTATTCTCATTTCCTTTCCCCATTAACAAAAAAAGGTCCTGACAATTATCATAACAGTAGTACAATATATCTGGAACATTCCAAATTGGAGAAAGCAGTTTTACAGTTTATCTACAGGAGCTGTTCTTTCAGCACCAAAAAAAAAAAAAAATGAGCTAGGTACAACTTCCCAGTCTATGTGAATGTCTTGGTACTGTTAATTATAAACAACAAAGCCATTTATTATCTCCAGCACTAAAATATGCATGCCAACTATTTATTTTCCACAATATTTTTAAAATCAATGTATTTTAATTTTATGACTGATTACCCTTCTAAAAGTTATTGGTCACTGTGATATATAATACTGTTCGATTTGATTTGTCTGTATTTTAGGACGATTTGGAAAATCCCCCTATTGGCCGAGTTCCTACAACATTCTAATCCCAAATCTTGGTTAAGAAAACACAGTTGCAGTAGTCCAGTAATATGCTACCTCCAAGATACCAAACCCCATTTTAGCTTCTTCTAAAGCTTGCATGAACTTTAGACTGTGTTTAATGTTACACTTATTAATGTTACACGTAATTCATGACTTATTTTCACCTACCCAAACATTGTTTTCAAACCTTAGTTCCGGACAGTATGACATATATCCTAAACTGCTGGGTAGCCTCAGATTAGTTATTTTCTGTCAGATAAATAATCTCTTTTAATCACATCAATTTGCTAGATTTTGGCTGAAATCTTCTTCAATAAATGAAGAAAATAAAATGTAAGATCCCACTCCCCCCAACTTTAAAGATTGGCTTGCATTTCAAATACTTGAGAATAATTGCAAAGAAGCTAATTAAACCATATCCAACCAAAAAAAAGGGGGGCTGTCATCAGCACCCCATGTACCTTTTTGAGGAAACGTAGCAAAATCTATACAGGTAGTTCCTCAACTTATGACCACAATTGAGACCAAAATTTCTGTTACTAAAGGAAACAGTTGTTAAGTCAATTGTGCCCTATTTTACAACCGTTCTTGCCACAGTTGTTAAGTGAATCACTACTGTTGTTAAGTTAGTCATATGGTTGTTAAGCGAATCTGGCTTCCCCATTGACTCTGCTTGTCAAAGGTCCCGAAATATGATCACATGACCCTGGAGCAGCACAGCCATCATAAACATGATTTAGTTGCTTTTGATCACATGATGATGGGGATACTACAAGGGCCATAAGTGTGAAAAATGGTCATAAGTCACTTTTTTTCAGTGCCACTATAACTAAACTGTTGCAAGTTGAGGAGTACCTGTATTAGGTACCTGTAACATGCCAACAGCTGTAGTGGGCTACAGCTTAGAACTTAGAATAACAGAGTTGGAAGGGGCCTTGGAGGTCTTCTAGTCCAACCCTCTGCTTAGGCAGAAAACCCCACACCACTTCAGACAAATGGCTCAACAATTCCTATCCCTACTTTGGGAAACCTGAGAGCGGCAGTTCAAAGCACAACATTAAAACCACACTGGGAGCCAGTCACAAACTCCGACCCTCCAGCACTGCAGAGAAAGGGGCGGATAACTGGAGAATCCCCAGCAAAAGTCTCACTGCAAAAAGTATTCAACATAAATTTGATTATACATGTAATAACTGCAGCAAGGATAGTATTTGCGCAAAGATGGAAAGCAGAGAAAATCCCTTCAGAAGGGGAAGTGATTGAAATGTTTTAGATATGAATAGATTAACTTTGAAAATCAAAGAAAGAGAAGATACAGAATATTCTATCATTGGGGGACAATTCTATCATTGGTTAGAAAATAGATATAGATAAATAATTTAATAATTAAATATGAGAATGGTATAATAAAAATATTGTATTGTGAGAGGGATGTTGTAAAAAAGGAAGAAAAGAGGAGTAACAAGAGGAAGAAGAAGTCACTGAAGAAACACTGAGATGACACATTCGGCAGGTTCTGACCAGTTCTGGAGAATCGGCAGTGGAAATTTTGAGTAGTTCAGAGAACCGGTAGTAAAAATTCTGACTAGCTCTACCTCCATCTATTCTCTGCCTCCTGAGTCCCAACTGATTGGGAGGAAATGGGGATTTTGCAGTATCCTTTCCCCTGCCACGCCCACCAAGCCACGCCCACCAAGCCACACCCACAGAACCGGTAGTATACAATTTTGAAACCCACCACTGGACTGATGTATTATGTGTTAGTTTGTGTATAAAACAATAAAAAAACTTTTTACAAAAACAAAACAAAACATAAAAAGCAGGGAGCATCCCGGGATCTTTTTCAGTGGCCAAAAGGGAGCCTTGCATCTGCTCGGGGGCAGAAGATAAAGAGAAGCAACATTCCCACGTTCTGCTTTTCCTCCCTTCGAGGGGAAAATTTCCCCCAGAATAGGCAATTGACAGCAAAGACAGGCTATGGGAAAGCCACGCCCACCGCCCAGCAGCTGCGCAGAACTAACACAACGCCAGACCCCGCCCCTTTCCTGCAGTAAGCAGGGAGGAGCATTCCCGCTCAACCCCCCTCCCCTTCGGGAAAAGGGGCGAGGCTTCTGCTGACTCCTCCCCCTCCCACAAAGCAAGGCTGTTTTAGGAAGGGTGGGGGAAGGGCACGATTTCCCTCACCGATCAGGACCGCGCAGTCCAAGGTGCGGAGCTGTCCGAGCAGCGTCCCCCGCGCTTGGAAAATCGGCAGGCTCCGACGCTGGCTGTCGATCCCTATGGAAGAGGAGGAGGAGGACGACGACGACGACAAAGAAGAGGAGGACGACGAAGGATGGCGCTTCGTCCCCGGTGTCGTTAGTAACATCGCTCGGCGCGATCCAGAGGCGAGAGGCAGCGTGGTGGACGCCAGCTTCGGTTTCTTGAAGGGGGGCAGCTCCCCGGTCCTCTGAGGCATCCTCGGCTCCCAGTGATAGCGGCGGCGGCGTTGGCGTCCTCCTCCTCGCCGGCGTCAGGTAACATGCTTCGCCGGGCCCCGCCCCTCAGAGTTTGCCTCAGGAAAACGCGGACTACATTTCCCAGCGATCCTCGCGCCCGCCTCTTGGTCAACGCCCGCTCGCTACCGTCGCAGGAGGCTCTTGGAGATTGTAGTTCGCTCGCCGCTTTCTCCGATTCGGGCATGCGCGCTACTGCTCACCCGAAGGCTGAGCCTTCTGGGTCTGCAAGTTAACGCTCGCCTCAGGCGTGAGAAGCGCGGTTTTGGGAAACGGGGTGTTGCGTTGCACGTTGGAGCGGTTCCTGCCCTCGTGTTTTGCTTGTTTTAACTTTGTTTCCTGATGTTCTTCTCTACGGGAATTCCAATTTCCACAAGGCAGGGGCCGAGCTCTTTTCATGACCTTTTATATGCTTTTTTAAACTATGGTAGCTTATTTTTCTGGGCCAAGAGATACACGGTATTCAGTTTTACGTACGATTGCCGCGCAAGTAATGTGCAATATGTGGACATAGAAGTAGGCTTACAACTTTTTTTCTTTCATTGCTGCCAGACATTCTGGATTCACGGGGAAAAGCGCCATTATTTATAGGCGCCTAATTGTATTTACTTCTATTTTGTCAGTTAACATTTAACTGGATTCTGTAGATTCTCAGTCATCTAGGTCAGGGGTCTCCAACCTTGGCGATTTTAAGACTGGTGGACTTCAACTCCCAGAGTTCCTCAGCCAGCTTTGCTGGCTGAGGAACTTTGGGAGTTGAAGTCCACCAGTCTTAAAATCGCCAAGGTTGGAGACCCCTGATCTAAGTCATGGTTGTCCCAAAGGTGCTTTTTCAGGAGGCAACTGGACTCGTTTTTTCTTTTGAAGACTCAGAGTTGAAGCGGCTTCTTGGATGAGAAGCGAACCGTCTTCAAAAGAAAAACCAAAGTCCAGTTCCCTCCTGAAAAAGCACCTTTAGGACTTAACTGAATTGCTTTTATGAGACACCAGAGCTATCTTTTAGTTGTACTACCAGGCAATCCTGAATTTTTAATACTTTAATACCACAAAATGTAGAGACTGAGCGCTTTAGACTTAAAAGGATCCATTTTTCCCACTGGAATCTCAATAATTAGTTGCAAAAGGTTGTTTTGAGAAAACATACATATAAAACTGCAAAACAGGATGGCTTGAACTTGCATGCAGCCAGGACCCTGTTTTTAAAATCATCACAGTATTCATATTTTTTAAAATGAGTATTTGTTAAATCACTGGCAGTAAGAAAAGTTTATCCATGGGATTTAGAAATCTACAAAATCTCCACCTTTTACACAACCAGTTTAGATTTTACTTTGCAGAACATACTATATGAAAAGTAATGTTTCACCCACTCTGAGAGATGTGGGGGAAATAAAGAGTTTGGGAAATGAGAATTCGCTGGTGGTTGTTTAAATTTTTGTGATTCTCAGTTGTTTAGTCACTCTTGAGTTCTGAGGCCAGCAAACATAATAAAATTTAGCATCCTTAACAATAGTGGGTTTCAGAGGCAGTGCTGTACTGACCCCAACATCAGTTATCTGTATGAAGTAGCTATTGCTAACTTTATGAAACTTACCTGTTCATAGTTTATCTTCCTTTATATAACTCCACTAAAAGAGTCATCTAAAGTAATACATGCATTTATCCTTCTTGGACCATTAAAAATGTAAAAGAAGCCCAAACATTTGACACTACCCTATGTACCCATAAAACAGTTACAATTTGTGCTGATCCATACATTTTACACTCCTAATGTAAGGGAGATCGGTCCACGAGGAAGAATGCATTTGAAACGGTTTTCAATCTATATTAAGTCCAGTTTTACTGTTCCAACTTTTAAAAAATCAGCATGCGCGTGCACACACAAGAGTATGCTTGTTTGGTGCTGTGTTTTAAACGAGCACTTTTAAGTTTGGAAATGGGGAAAAGCTAGTGACAGTAATGCAGTTATCTGGACAATACCAGCAACTGGGCTTAAGTTATGAGGAGGGCTGACTGCTCATCAGAGAACATAATAGAATGGTTAAAGACTGCCTATAAGCCAAGTGGTTTATCAGTCAGGGTTTTTTTTACATCAGAATTTGTTCTACCTTAAGTATGTCAAAAGTTTAATAACTTCACACTCTTCAAACTCCTAGACCGCAGTTCAACTCTGAATTCTCACATTTTTTAACTGGCCAAGACCTGGGGCACAAGAATCTTAAGAGCTCACAAAATTTTATGATCTCGGAATTTCAGCTTAATTTTATTTGGTGGGATGCTAAGGCCACTGTGCAGCAATTTAAGTATGAAACTCGGAAGGTAATTTGCCCACACAACAGGCCAAATAAAGCACTTTTTAGCCCTGAAGAGAACTGGTCTTTCATAAAACAGATATTTTGAACAAATTATATCTTAGAACTTTCATTCTTCCAGTGCAATCTGTCATGAGATTTGTATGAAACAATATGTTTCTTAGATGTTTCCTTTTCAAGTAGCAACAGAGGAAGACAAATCATGTTCCATGAAATACAAAAATAGTAAAGATGGAATTGAAGATATAAAAGTCAAACATCTATAGTATCTGCCATAATAGTGTCTACTTTGACTAATCCCAAACCCCACATGAGAAATCTGCTTTTAAGAGAATATATAACACTGTACATAAGGAAAATGGGTTGTACCTTATAGCTAACCAATTTTACAATTTACATATGAAACCTCACCAACCAGCTCGGTCCCTAGCCACCATTGGGGGTTACACTGCAAACATAACAGTAAACCAGTTTTGGTAAACACAAAGTCTTCAACATAATTCAGCATATAAAATCTGCCCAAATCTTCTGAGAAAAAAAGAGGCTCTTCAGTTGTAGTTTGCTTCAGAGGCACCATTGCCATGGTCAGCAAGTCAAGTAAGCTTGCCTGTTTAATTATCTAATGAAAAAGGAAAAGTAAAATAAACAGTTTTATTCATCTTCTGTAGTTGCCCAGTCCTGTATGAAATAAAATTGAAAAGGGCCTTACAAATATTTCTTTTTACACATGAACTGAAGAACACAAGAATGTACATTTCCAGTTCTTCTTGGCTTGGATCATTCATTTCTAAATAAATCAATGTAAAAGTCTCCAAGAGGGTTTGAAGTCAGTTCCTTGAAAAATGTCTTTTGATCAGATTTTTTTTTCATTTTTGAAAAAAATGTTTTGCATATTCAGAGTTGTCAAAACGTCCTTTATGCACAAGAGAACAGAACCATTCTCCAGGGTGGTTTGCTTGCCTAGTCTCTCGTCAAAGATGTTTGCTGGATCTCAGCCTCCTAGACGCTGACCTTCTCCCCATGCAAAACCTCCTGGCCTTTCTTCAGGCAGTGGATTGTAATTGGGATCTTCTTCTGGAGTGTCAAATATTAGTTTCCTGTTAAGCAATAGATATATAGATATTTAATGCTCAAGTCAACAGAAATAGAAAAGTGTACATACATTACTAACAAAAGGGAAGCATTTAAAACGCCATGATTTCTGCCAACCTGCTCTTTTCTCTTTTGCCTCAAGGGTAATTGGAAAGAAGAACAAGTGGCCAGAATTAGGAATATATGTATATTTGTCTTAGGAAGAACCATTAGTTCCCACTGTTCTGAATTGCATATATTTCTCAATTTGGTATTTTTCAGTTTGTTAAAAAGATTCTTTTAAATGCTGCTTCTAAATTACTTTCTTGTGACTGTATTGCGGCTTTCCCCAATCTGATATTCTACAGACATACCAAATACAGCTTTCATCAAGCCCAAGCAGCAAAGCAGGATAGGGTGATTTTTTTAGCTCTTATTATTGAAATTTATCAAATTAATTAGTTATCACAATGTGCTGGTTTTAGTTTCCTTTGTGTAGGATATAAACTGAATTCTAAAAGGATTTAAAACCTACTAGACTTTTCTAAAATGATATGGTTTGGTCTACCATGGTAAATGACATATGAGGCCAAAAAGTATCCACTTATTTCAACTACTTGTTCTGTAAGTAACCAGTGAGATGCTTTTATAAATTCCACAAACAGTACTTATAGACCAATATTCTCCATAGCAATTATCTGACACTGTATATTGAGTCAGGCAACCAATTCATTTAGTTCAGTATTATGCTAACTGACAGTGCTTCTCTAGATTTCAGATATGATTCCCAGCTCTATTTATACATGCTGGGGTTGAATTCAGGATATTCATCATGTGAAGCATGTGTTCTAATATTGATGCAGACTTCCTCTGCGAATTCCATTTAATTATATACCTCTTAGGTATGATCAACTAAGCTCTGCTTGGAAAAGTGAACAAATCTGGGAGATTAAGGCAGCAATTCAGGAATTCAATGTGGATTAAACTCTATCTCTGTCCATTTTCTATCTTTTTAGGTTTGGAATTCGCTCACTGAATACAACTGTTCTGCACAATTTATTCTGCCTCTTCCCTTCCACTCAATGCCCATCACAAAGGAAAGCGTTTTTGATTGGGAGCTCCCCAGAGTTGGCTATAAGATGGGCGGCAGCTCTATAAATGATTTAAATAAAAAAAAGATAATAGAAAGCACTTACAATATGGATGGTGTTTTTAGAAGCCTTCCTCCCCCAGGCTGATTTGGAAAGACATCTTCCAAGAAGAAATATATGTGACCCACAGCAATGCCTGGAGGGGGGAATATTGAAACACAACATTTGTTTTATTACAAAAGTTTAAAAGCATCCAACACCCAACACTAATCACTGCCGTTTTGAGAAAGCATTTTAAAAGCCTGGTTCATAAAAGTCTACCTGAGGCTTGAAAAGATTGTTTCTTAGGAATTTTAAAGAAGTTAGTTTTCTTTTCCAATTGTGTGAATATTTAAGTGGGCAGCACAACCTCCTCCTGTTGCTTTAACATTTAAAACATTTAATTGTTTTTCACATCATCAGTTCATCTATTTTTAGAAGAAGCACCTCAAGATATATTTTGCATGCTGTTTCTAATTTAAGATTTTCATATGTAGCATTGCTTTTCTTGGCCTCTTCATATGTAAACTGTAAGACAACAAGCAGCACAGTAGTGCTTTTATGAATTCTGCATTTTACATTCGGCAAAGTATATACAATTCTCATTATTAAGCTAGGGAATAAATCTGTATCCCCTCATAATGATTAAAAAAGGCTGCTATGAAGAATTATTTTTTTATCTGTCCTGCAGAATGATCTGGTCTTTCACATCTTCTAACAGTGTAATCATTGCTGCTGGGATTCCTCAATAACTATCAATGTATTGCATAATTGTAACTTTAAAAGTTAGTATGCACAAGCAGAAAGGAAATAATTTTTAAGAGATGAGGCAGGTCAACAAGGCAAGGATTTTATTATAGCTCACTTACTGACATAAGTTTCTATCATCTTACCTAGAAGATCTACTATAATGGAGTTTCCCAATAAAAGTGAAAATCCCATTAGAACCCATGGAAGAAATGGAGCCTGAAAGATGAGAAGCCCAAAGAAATTCATGCGAACAAAAGGATTTCTGCGGCTCCAGACATATACTAGCATTATCGTAAATGCCTGCCCTAAAAAAACCAAATTGACAAACAAGCCAAAAAGCTGATGGAAATAATGGTTAAAGAAAAAGTCATTGTAGTCTTATCGAAGAAATTTAAAAATAAATAGCAGAAAGTTGTAATCCTGCATACATATTTATTTTGGTAATTCACAGTGTCCAGTGGCACATTAGGAATGGGGAAGAACGAAAAAGTAAATCAGATTTAAAGCCTAAAGTAATATTCCAAATCTTTAAAAAAAAAGCACCTTCACAATAGAAAGGTTTATTGTTTAATTTACACACTGTAAAAAAATCCTTAGAAAGACAGGTTTCCTGAAGCAGATCTATTTCAAACTGTGGTACAGATCTGAGGCCAGTGTCAGGTTTCGATGTCGTCTCTAGTACTCTAGTGCTGACAGCCAGATTGCAAACCATATTTGCCTAATCATAATGAAATTTTTTAAACAGACTGGAGCAATGCCTCAACTGAGTGAAATTTTTGCAAAGTTGCTCAGACCTGAATTTGCTAATTTTCCAGAAAAAAAGATACATTCTAAGAGGGAAATACCATTAAGACATGATTTCCACACTTGCACTGCATAATCACACACATGAATACTGTAAGAGCATTAGTTTTTAATACAAGTAGTCCTTGACTTACAATCACAATTGAGCCCAAAATTTCTGTTGCTAAGTGACACAATTAACTGAACTTTGTCCCATTTAACAAGCTTTCTTATCAGTTAAGTGAATCACTGCAGTTGTTAAGTCAGTAACACAGTTGTTAAATTAATCTAGCTTCCCCATTGACTTTGCTTGTTAGGTTGGAAAAGAGCTCTGGTGGCTCAGCAGACTAATTAACATCCACTTATATCTGCTGCCTGCAATTACTGCAAGTTCAAATCTCACCAGGCTCAAGGTTGAGTCAGCCTTCCATCCTTTCTAAGGTAGGTAAAATGAGGACCCGGACTGTGGGGGCAATAAGCTTTGTATAAATATACAAAAGTATGAAGGCTATTGCTTAACGCATTGTAAGCCGCCCTGAGTCTCCGGAGAAGGGCGGCATATAAGTCAAATTAAAAAAAAAAAAGATGATCACATGACCTCAGGACACTGCAGCCATGAGTCAGTTGCAAAGCGTCTGAATTTTGATCATGTGACCATAGAGATGTTGCAACAGTTGTGTGAAAAATGGTCATTAGTCACTTTTTCCAGTGCCTTTGTATTTTCAACCAGTTACTAAATGAACTGTTCTAAGTCAAGGACTAGCTGTATCTGAGAGTAAACTAGCAAAGTCCCTTCACCTGAAGAGTGGTTGCCACTTAATGTACATAAATATACAGCCCTAGTTTGACTCAGCATAAGCCTAGGTTTCACTTCCCACTTCACAAAGAAATTATGCAAAATGATTTGAGGCTGATCTTCTATTCTTAGCCTAATTATCGTCACTAGATGGTTGTGAAGATAAAAATAGAGACACCTGCAGGCTGGCCTGAGGAAAGGAAATAAGAGTTATAGCAGTAGGGCAGAATAGGATCTTGTTCTGAATGTCTGAAGTTTTTCATTACCAGTGTTTTTCTGATGAAAGTAAATATTGGTTAACGCCTTGTAAGCCGCCCTGAGTCTCCGGAGAAGGGCGGCATATAAATCAAAATAAATAAATAAAAAAAATGTATTCTGGAATTAAATAGTCTTTAGATTACCTCTGCTCTTCAGAAAGAAATTATCTTGTTTGAAAGTACCACCTAACAAAATTTTCCACAGTTTTGAAATTCTTTTATGAAGCGGTACACTTGAGGCTCTTTTCAAAAGTTAAAGCTCAGCGAGTTCCAAATCAAACCAAGGAAATGTTTTCTTTGAAAAAATGGGTATTTTTATAAATAATTTCCCCGATCAGGCCTAGTAGATATAATGGCACTGCATGAATCAAGGAACCTCCCATCAACATAAGAACTCAGAATTCTCTCAGAAAGTGTTCATTTCTGGAAAAAGGCTTGCTATTTGTTTAGTTGACTTCCTAGAAGATGTATTCACTATTAAAGAGATATCCCAAAAATAGATGGAGAATTATAATAATTTTATCATGTCCCAGATCTTATATATAAAATCCAACAATGAAAGGATACAGTCATTAAGAGTCCACCAAAAAGGAACATAAATACAAAGTCTGCTGTCCGACCACGAAATGATCCTTCCTCAAGCATTCGACAATAGCGATATCTGATCACCAGTTCAGGAAAATACTAGATGTAGACACATATTTTATTTCTACAAGAAAATGAAACTTTGTTCTATATTTTAGCTTCAGAGGTGGAAGAAGAAAAGCATTTTAAGTCTACAAGCAGATACACCTTTAGTCTTATTTTAGCATTTAGAACTGAAATAATTCTAGGCTATTGTTAATTACACAGAGTCAAACATTTTATCAGATCTTTTGGGAAATAAAGTCAATACTGACATTAAAACTTCTATGCCATAGAATTGGTATACATCAGGGACTTTCTGCCCATACAATCCAAAAATATAAGGTAGGCTTTTGCAACCAAGTTACAACCAGGGTAAAGGATCTGGCTCTATCATTAGAGATCTAATTTTGTATTGTTTGACTGCAAAAAAAATCATATTTTCATAGTTGAGACTTTTACACTTGAAGATTACCAATGCAGAACTCACAAATGCAACAAGAACAAATCACAACGATCATATTCTCTGTTGAGTTACCGTTATTATAATTTTGTTTTTTACTAGTGATTTGAGGAGTTATTTCTTCCATGGATTATTTTTAGCCACCAAGGTTTGTTTGTTTAAAATGGTCAGCTATATAAATTTTGTAAACAAATACATTATTTGACTCAGATATGTAAATCTATTCCTCCTACAAAGAAAATGGATTTTGAGAAATCAATAATATGTATTCAGAATAAGTACTCATGTTCATCTTAAAAGTTTTGTTAAAGGTTATATATTCAGAAATGACATGTCTAGCATGCAGCAATCAAGCAACTAAAGGAATATTCTTGATTCAACAACTAATACTTCAATGCTATTTTTATTTATTTGTATACCACTTTTCTTATTTTTTACAAATAACTCAAGGCGCTGAACACACCTAGTAATCCTTCCTATTTTCCCCACAACAACTACCCTTTGAGGTGGGTTGGGCTGAGTGTGTAACTGGCCCAAGATCACCCTGCTGACTTTGCCTAAGGCAGGATTTAAACTCACAGTCTCCAGGTGATTTTAATAAAAAAAAAGTTTATAAATTTGTGAGTAACTTCTCCAATTTCAGTAGGTATTACCTGCTTCAGAGCTACAACAAGGAAACACTTAAGCAACTAAAATTTCCATCTGTAATAATGTATCTGGTACTGTGTTAGGAGGGGGGCATCTTGAAAGTGGCGACTACCACAAAGTAGGTTTTTCCTCTCATATCCTCACTTCCAAACATATTCTAAGCCTTATGAGGTAATACCAAGGAATGGCCAAATTAATACTACCACAGAGGTTCCTTTGGGCATCTTGACTCTAAGCAAAACTTGATTTGTCCATAACAAATTAGGAGCAAGCACTGCTGACATATGTAAACAAATGGTGATTTCCCTTGAAATACAGTGAAACATGAGGTTTATAATATTTTTTCAAAGAAAGAACCAGTTGCAACTAATATTATCCTCCTTAAATTACTTATTTGCTTCTAAAGTTGTTCCTAAACCACCTGGAGTCCATATAAATTATGGCAGTATATTAAATAAAATTAATTAGAAAAGAAGAGTCAAGCAACTTTCAATGGGGTAGGTCTAAAAGGTCTTACATATGCAAGCATATGTAAGCTTGCATACAGAAGATAAGCAAAAGATACAAGAATATCATATTAAATAAAAAATTGAATCCAACTGGCCCAAAGAAAAGGTAGTTTGTAATCAGCCTCCATACCTGCAAGAGATATGAGGAATGAGAAATTAATAAATCACATTTAAGCAAATGCTTCTTGGTTTGAGGGCGCTGTGGTGGTGCAGTGATTAGAATGCAGCAGGGTGGATAAAAATCAATGATTTTTTTTTAAAAAAAATCAAAAAAATCAGATTTTTTAAATTTAAATCGGATTTTTTTGATTTTTATCGGATTTATTTTAATAAAAAACTTTTGGGGTAAAAATCTATCATAAGATAGTTTTCTATTTAAGATACATAAATAATTTAGTTTATTCAGCATGAAATGGAGGTTAGTTATATGGCATGAGGCTGTATATTCTGCAACACTCTCGGTGAGTCAACAGTGGGTCAAAGGAGTAGCAGAGATGACAGTTGCTCTTTAAAAATTATGATTTAAATCGAGTTGATTTAAATCAAGCCTTTTTACTAGTGATTTAAATCATGATTTAAATTGTGATTCAAATCAACTTGATTTAAATCAAATCCACCCTGTAATGCAGTATTGCAGGCTAACCCGGCCCACTGCCAGGAGTTCAATCCTGACTGGCTCAAGGTTGACTCAGCCTTCTGGGTTGGTAAAATGAAGACCCAGATTGTTGGGGGCAATATGCTGACGTTGGCAGCCTGGCCCGGTGTGTGTGTGTGTGAGAGAGGCAGGCACACACGCAAATATACAAGTGGATATATATTAATACAGAACAATCAAATT